TGTACTTTAGGAGAAAGCTATATCAAAAACAAATACTATTTTATATAATATTTTCACATATTGTAACCACGAAATACAGATAATAACGCCATCTTTTCAACAAAAAATCGAATTTGGAATACGATTAAAAAACAAAAAAAAACAATAATTATTTTATTACCGATAAAATTACATTATGAAAAAAATAATAATAATAATAAACCCATAACTTGACAAACAACCCTCAAATAAAAAAAAAACATGTGTACATGTTCATATCCATTGACGTACCTACAAATATGCCTAATATGAACGAATGTCAGAACTTCACTTTTTTTTGTGGTCCGCTTCACGTGAAATGCCCCTTATGTATCGGATAAAAACTATATTAAAATAAACGTTTGCAATACGTTTATATATTAATTGCTAATGGAAAATAATACGCTAGGTTTATATATTATCAATTCAATCATTGCTTTTTGTTAATTATTATTTTAAAAATTAATTATTGTATGAATCAAGATATTATTCATTCTGTTATTTAAAAAATAACCGGTTATTGTGAACATATTAAATATAAGAGTTATTTATGTTTATTGTTTAGAAAATTTTATTTTTTTATAACTGTCAATTTAATTTTCTTTAAAACTGGAAAATGACTGGGAAGATACAATTCTTTTCTATCTAAATATTCATTTGTTGTAATAAAATATACATTTACAATATTACACACACAATTTATGTATAAGTTACATTTCACATTATAATGTGATATAATTTCACTAAAATGGCACCTGTATGAAGCTTTATTGTTATGGAATGTACTTATATAACGACATCGATGCTCCTGTTCGATTCACAATGAAAATTAATTATTATTAATATGGACAGCATGTAAGTTTAAAGTTTATGTACAACTAGCGACTCACCCTCAAAGGTAAAAAAGAGAAATCTCAATGACTAACGTATTGTGTACAGAATGTACACCCTAAAACAATTGTTGAAATTTGTCGATTTATATATCTGTATCTCCTAATGTACACTCACAATTAGTGTTTTTAACGCGCCCGAGTAAAGCGAGGGTAAGCCGCCAGTACTACATAACAATGTCAATGTCGCTAGCGAGTATCGAGTTTCGTTAGAATCTATTGTAAAATATTTATCGATATTATATTTGAGGTTGGACGTATTTACCGTTTATTGGTTATTGATAACTGAAAAGTGAAAGTTGGTATAAAATTCACTGGAAAAATATCACTAAAGCATTATATATATATATATATATATATATATATATATATATATATATATATATATATATAAAATAACCAATGACAAATAATACATATACTATTGAAAAATGAATCAATATTTCATTTCCTAACAAGGGAACTTAGAGAAGATATTATAACAGTATGTGCATTTTAGATATGACTCTATTCTAATAAAACTGGTAACTACACCGTCCAATGACCTCCAATACTCACATTCAAAAATCGTCCAAACAGAAGTCGAAATGGTCCTCCATTTTCTTGTAGTCGTCGCTTGAAAATCTCATACATTTCGGACAAGTGTACGCCTGTGGAAGTAAAAAATACTTTATTTTTGCTTATTTTATTCAAAATATATATGTATGTTAGATTATTTACTATATTAGTCCGGTTTTTGCTAACATCTCTTAAGAACATATTTGAATTAAGCCAAAACCCAAAGACTCATTACCGTAAGGTATAAGGAAATTAAAAAAAATATTATTTCTTTACAAATGATACATAAAACAAGGAGTTTTATGTATCAGTTGGAAAGAGATTTTTATTTTTTTTATTTTTCTTATGTCTATACATATTTTCTATATTAAAGACTATATTTTAGCTAAAATTAATACATTTTTAATAAGTAACAAATAATAATTTTGTACTTAAGAAGATGTTACAAATATACTACATATTTCATTCCAACAACATTCACACACATGCAAAACAGTAAATAAAAAAAATAACATATAAACCAATATAAATTATCGTAATGCAATATATTCATAGGTAAAATAGGTAAAACTAATATTATTAAAACAAAAAAATAAATAAAAAAAGACCTTAGAATGAAAACTTAATGTTTGAAATATTGCTGATTACCATTATGATTACCAGCTACCATGATTGCTGTAAAGCATTCGAAACGTCGGGAACCAAAAATCAAAATAAATCCGCGAAAAAATCCGGAAACATAGTTTTACTTAAAATGTCAAATATTCGCGTATATCTTCTTTTTTTCCATAAAAAAAATTCACAATCGATAAAAATACTGTAACAAATATGTACAATGAACACACAAAAAAATACAATCGACTAGAAAATGTTTGAATTATATGAAAATCTTCGAATGCAGGTACACAGTTAAACACAACAAAATATAGCAAAAATGCTGAAAAATTAGTGATAAATAAATAATACATCAAAATATTAATAAGTAAAATCAAAATAAATCCGCAAAAAAATTCGAAAAGATGTTTTATATCAAAAATATTAAATATTCGCGTAAATCTAAAAAAGTATTAAAGAAATTATTATTGTATTATTGTTTAGTCTATTTGAGCACACAGATTAAAAATATCAAATTAGTTTTATTTAATATAAAAAATACACAAATCTTACCAGAAATATAATTAAACTATTTCTCTAAAGGAATATCTGCTATTAAATAAATAAAAAAATAGTAAATAAAAAAAAATTAAGATAATAAAAAAATAATTAATTAACTAAAATAATACAAAATGCATAAAATATAAAGACTATCTTAATTGTATTGAATGTACTGTATTAATTACATGAATTTTGCTTTATGGGACGTTACAGATAAAGTATGAAAATTATGTATTTTGGTATTGGCAGAGACTAATTTTAAAATGTGCCGACACATCTTCAAAGTAAACTAGACACACTACTAAATGTCATAAATATTAATAATATAATTAATCTATACTAATATTATAAAGAGGTAACGTTTGTGAGTTTGTGACGTTCTAGGGGGTAATCTCTGGATCTACTGAATCGATTTAGATGAAATTTGGTAAGATGATAGTTTGAAACATTGGGAAGGACATAGGATACTTTTTATTCCGGTAATCATCCTTTAATCGGGTGAAAATGGGGATGAAAGTTTGTATGGGGAATAATCAGAGTACCGTTTTTATTATTTGGCTACGGAACCTAAGCAACACAACTATCTCGCCAGATCCTGCCTCTTGCCTGAGTCTAGAAAACGCTTCTTAAAGTTTTAAGATTTCAATGTACCAGATTCATCCTCGTGCATAGAACGTCGAGGGTCCTTTTCTAAACTGACATTTTAGCTTACGAATTATTTACGTATATAATGTAATTTATTATTATTTATTTACTTTGTTAGAGTGCTTGCTGTTTTTAAAAAATATATTTTTTGTTCTGATAAAATTTCTTGTTTAATTTTTTTACCATAATCTTATCAAAATATTCGATAATCGCTTTAATTAGTATATTTATATGAATATATATATATATACTAATTAAAGCCATTTATACATATTAATATTTATATGAAAATTTCATCTAGATCCTACATTTTAACGTTAAATATATGTATGGATGTTAGATTTTTATATTGAATAATTGTTAGTATATTTTGTGTCTCTGGAAAATATAGAGGGTACAACATATAACTTAGAAGTCGTGGAACGTTGGGAGTTCATTAAAATCACTCTATCTGTAATTTCCCTAACAAGTCGATTTAATTTACATTACATTGGCTAAAATTAAAAAAAAACAAGTAGTAAGTAACAAATAAAATTCTTTCGCATTAAAACCATGGGGGATTCGATGTCTGTACTTGTTTAGAGTGTATTTACATAGAGTTTGCTATTGCAAAGATATTTTACGATTGTAACCATATTATAGTTTAAACATATTTATAATACAAAGGAGTTCGAAATTTTGTGGATCAACGACATCTATTATAATCTATTCAAGCAAACAAAAATAGCCCGAATTAGCGCTGTCCAATCTCTGTATTGGATAAGGCATCTGTATTGGTATAATAGTATTACTAGCGACTCATCCTCGCTTCGTTTGGGTTCGTTCCTAGTTTACGCTTAGGCAAATTTTTGATACCTTAAGTTACATTATTACAATTTTCATGGGGATCTCTATTTAAAAAATAAATAAAATAAAAAGTAATGCTTTAGATACTTCAGTAAGAATTTTTCCCATTACAAACATACAAAAAAAAACATATTTTTTGTCTTTTTAATATTAATATAGATGTCATCTGCATACGTTAAAAAGATGCACAAGCCATAACTCACGTGAGAGTGTGGGGTGTCATTGAGATGTTCTAAGTTTCACTCACAAAGAATTACTGTCATATTAGACCCAATTAAACAAAACTTTAATTGAAATAACACTGAAAAAAAAACCATATAAACTTATGTATTACATAGCGCATTTATGCAATACTTTGGCGATATAGAGCTTTACAAATGTTTGACTTCCATCACAAACAAAATTAAAAATAAATTGAATTAAAAACTAACAGTTGTCAAACTTACTAATTCATATTCTTATTCTCACAAAGAGGAAAAATATATGTTTACATTATTAATCTTCAAACAATTTCCCTTATTTCCAACAAGGGAGAGTGAGATATATAAACCTATTTTCCATTACTGCATAAACAGTACTTGTCAAAAATCGCTATACACTGTCACTAAAACCATTGTATGTCCCATACAAAAAAATACAGCCAAAGCAAAAATCGAACCCACGACCTCATCCTATTAATCTACAAATATTATAAATGCGAAAGTTTGAATGGATTCCATGTTTGTTACTCAATCACGCCAGAGCAGCTGAAAGGATCTGGATGAAATTTGGCACAGAGATAGATTATAGTCTGGATAAGCATATAGGCTACTTTATATCCCGGGAAAATGTACGTTTCCCGTGGGATAGATTTGTTTTTTTTTCAATATTAGTATAGCTAGTTTTCTATAGCAAACACGAGTCAACATGTTGCTGTAACAATATCAACGACTTAAACGGACGGTCGCAGACGGGACAGTCGAAGCGCAGCGGCGGCGGACTCGACTCTTTCTCTTCCTCCACTCTCTTCTTCTTACGAACCTTTGTTATATACATAGAATATACATAAATATCTTAAATTATATATAACGAATAATATAGACAGAGTGTCGTACAACTAAACTTAAGGCCTAAACGTTTTAAAATAGTGTTATTATAATTAAAGAGTACTAAAGAATATAGTATTATTTCATTATTCATATGTTATTCTCAAAAATTGTATATTAATTTGACTTAAAATTTTAAATATAAAAATTTTGTACATATATAAAATTTCCCTTATGCTATAAAGAAAGTAAACGATCTGTATTGAAAAATCGTGAATAGTAACATAAACAGCAAATCACGTTAGTATTTTTGACTTTAACATTTATCTTGGTGGCCTCCGTCTATATAATTTATTAGATTGAGGTAAAATACATTAAATAAATTAATATAAAAAATAATAATATAAAAATATTTATAAGTCTAAAATTTTTTTAACGATTAATAAATTCCTATTCAACATACAGTGAAAATAATATGATATAATAATTTACAAACATTATGTATAATATTTATGATGAATTTGTGAAGCTTAAACTTTATTAGTAAAATAGAAGGAACAGCGAGTTTTATCAAAAAGGAAATTGCTGTTTTAAAACAAATGTCTAGATATTTTCTTTTCTTCTTTTTAGACTTATAATAGAAAAAGCAAATTATCATATTATAATATCGTAAAATAATAGAAATATTACAAAATATATTATAACGAAATTTTTTTTTTAAATACTCTTTGCAATCGAAATATTCAAAATTATTTAATGTCACGGCCTTTTAAAAATCACTACAACGACAGTTGATTACGTCTATAGTTCGTCTATACCCCCATCGTCACTGCAATTTGATGCAGAGGACACTGCACCGTATGGCATTGCATTAAGGTCGAACTTACCGTGTTGGCGGCGGCGGCGGGGGCGGCCGGGGCGGGGGCGGGCGGCGTTCGCGCGGCGGCGGCGGGCCGGCGCTTGGCTGTGACGCTCTTATGCACTCCCGGCGAGAGGATGCGGATCTCTTCCAGCTGGAATAATTATATAAATATTAGAGAATAGTTCATTCATCATTCATTATTAAGACGGGTTTATTTATGCACTTTATTGTACACTACAGTAACGACATAAGAACAGGAAAATTAAATTATCTATGCATAAAACGCGGCCTTATCGCTAACTAGCGATTTCTTACAGACAACATTGGAAATTTGGAAGATCATAATTAGGATTAGGATAAGTGGTGTAAATATAGTATACAAAACATACCACAATACAACCTAATACAGAATACTTAAAAATTCTACACATATTATATATATATATATATATATATATATATATATATATATATATATATATACATATATAATATACATATATCTTTAAACTATTACTACTTTACACATGAACACATAACTCCCCTCTATATTCAGATCAAAACAGTGTGCCAAGAGCTATTATTTTAACTTATATATAAATATCCCTTTCGCTTCTTCCATTGTTATCATTATCTTTATACATAGTCGTCGGGTGGTTCCTTAGATTTTTGAGTTGAATTTATTTAAATATTAAAAACACTTGATTTTCAAAATGACTTCAACGTCGCCTCCTATTTCGCTTTCCATCCACTCTTACACAATATAAGACATACCTACATATTTGTTATCATCTATTACTTAAAATCGCCTTTTTACTTCGTTACCATACTAGATGGTTAGGTATTTAGAATTTTTACCTACTAAAACCCCTTCAGTTTCCACCAACTGCGTATAGCGGAAACCACATGTACCCTTCTTGCGCGATGCTAAATTAAACACATCTAGAAGTTTATTCAACAGTCCTCTGGGCATCTGGAGATGACTCCATGATCCAAAGACTATGTCGTTAATGGACGAGAACGTGTAATATCAGCGTCCCTATGTCTTCCGTCTTTGTCGAGTGGGATCGATATATATTGTCATCTTTATCTTTTTTTTCAAACTACTGTACAATTTTGTAGTTTGACACAGTCTGTAATATCTACATATGACAATTTTCATACCTAATCCCTGATGTAAATAAGATCATAAATGTATTGCAATCAAAAAATCTCTAAATTTTTTTAACTTCAAATTGGTTAGTAAATCGTTACCTGTGTGGTGAGTTCTTGTATCTTCTTCTGAGCGCTTCTAAGGTCAGTCATGAGGTTTTCCTTCTCGCTCGCCATTTTCTCACGAGATTCGCGTTCCGCTTCAAAGTCACTCCTGAACAACGTGTACATTTCTAAGTTTCACAACACAATATGTCTATTATCCATCATAACGAATAATTTGTATAGACGAAATGAAAATGGGAAACTATTGGTATATCTTTAAACAAAAGCTGTTTGTATTAGCAATAAAAATATTAATCTGTACATATAATAAAATTGTAACTGAGCCGAATCTGCACATTAAATATTTTTTGGAAAATCTTATTGAAATAAACATTATTATCGATACATAGGCCGAATTTTTGTCTGACAGTCTGTTACCGCATCACAGAAAAACCACTGGAGGGATTTTGATGAAATTCGGTATGGTAATAGCTGGTTATCCGGGTCAACATATAGGATACTTTTAACCCTGAGAAAATATCTCATTTCTGAGAAAAAATACAAAAACTGCAATGTAAGAGTATACTAATATGTAAAACCTAAGAATTTGGTTTTTGGTCATCTGAACGCGGGCGGAGCCGCGGGGAATGCTAGTTGAAATTATATAATGCTAGGTTACAGACTGAAAATAATTTCAACATTTCCTAATAGAAGCTAACTAAAAAGATGAAAACAAGTTGACGAAGGAATTCTGTAACAGTATTATGTAGTCAGAGATATACACGACGTTTCATTCTTCCCTTGAGATGTACATAATACGTATGTATGTCACTGACTGCATAATAGTACCTATATTCCTTTGTCAACTTTTTATTTTTATAATAAATACATATTATATACATTGTATTCAACCCTTTTTAACGTCCCACTGCTAGGCACGGGCCTCCCTTCAATTCGAGGGGGATCAGGCCATAGTCCACCACGCTGGCCAAGTGCGGGTTGGCGGACTTCACATGTCTTTCGAAAACTTGCTAGGTTCTCTCAGACATGCAAGTTTCCTCACGATGTTTTCCTTCACCGTTAAGACAAGTGGTAATCATGTTGGCAATGATTCGCACATGAAAATATCAGAGGTGCGAGACCCGGGATTTGAACTCGGTTCGCTCGGTTTCTCAAGCGAGCGCGTTACCACTGGGCTACCACTGCTTATATATATAAATAGTTATTTCTATTATTCTATTTATTCTATTTATATATATAAATAGTTATTAGCCAGCGTTAGCCATATTATAAATTTTAATTTTTTTTTCGTTAATTTTTCATTTTTTTTCTCTTTATTAAAACCTTCCGTGGACCTTAAGAAACATACGAAAAAATTTTTGTGCCGAAAAGGTCCAGTCATTCTTGAGTTATGCGCTTACCAACATTCATTTTTATTTATATAGATTTTGTACTTACAGCTTTTTGTTTTTGCCAATTAAACATTTGAAATTATATTTAGCAATTTTTTCTATCCTAATATTTTTTACTATTACATATTATTATTTTTTTATACTGAAACAAGATTTTTTTAAATCTCATGATCTGAAAAGTGACTCAGTGAAATATGTAGTAAGTTTTATCCCGGAAATCATCCCTTATGGGGGTGAGAATATGGATGAAAATTTGTATGGAGAAGCAAGTTAGGGACGAGCGAAGCAAGGGTGAGTCGCTAGTTATTATATAACAATATAAAATTGTATCCTCACTTGTACAAATCGACCTGAGCCCGCAGCAAGTCGGCCTCCTCCTTGTGCAGCGTGAGCGCCGCGAGCTGCGCCTCCAGCGCGTGCAGCTCCTGCCCGCGCGCCAGCAGCGCCGCCGTCAGCTGCTCCACGCTTTGCGATTGCGGCTTCTACAACATTCATTATTCATTTGAAGTGAAACTTACATTTATATTAACTTAATATTTATTTATTTAACTTAGTTTTATATTAGTATTCTTGACAATGTTTGAGGGGTGGGCGCTGTATGCCGTAACATAGGCTTCCTAGTACGGCAACAGAGGCATCCGACTATAAATATCTATTATGTGAAACTAAACTGAGATTTAAAATGTTTATTCACAAGTGTACATTTTTTGAGAAATAAAGTATTATTATTATTAAAAAAGACTTCTTTAGATTTATTACGATTTGAACCTAGATAAAACGAAAATGCGACACTCAAAAGGGACAATTACATAAATATATATGATTAAGCCGGCGAGAGAATGAGATAGAATACATTGCCATGTTGCCATGGTAACCGTTGTTATTGTAAATGAAATTTACACTATAAACATTACTAATAAATTATATAACTATATATATATATATATATATATATATATATATATATATATATATATATATATATATATATATATATATATATATATAACTATATATATATAACTAATAGTAACAGATTAAAAAATCACAATATATACATATAAACTGACTTTACTTACAGTTTCAGTTTTTGTAACAGACTTTTTGAGCAGTTCATTATAATCTTTGAAAATCCCTTCAAATATTGACAATGTGCCTCGGACTTGGGCTCTGAAAAATAATAAAAGTACAATAAGTCATACTTAAATATAATTAATTGGTCAAGTGCGAGTCGGATACTCATTAAGAGGGTTGAATTTGATATTTTCGAGGCATTTGTACTAATACAGTATTATCGCTGTATATAAATCCATACAATTGGCGATCGCCTATTAATTTTAATAGAAATGCTATCAAATGCAAGGGTTGTCAAAAATATCCATTTTCAAAAGAGCCATATCATGACAAGTTTCAATTATATGCGTCAAAAAAAGCCGTTTTCCAACTGTGATATGAAACTAAGTATAACAGTCGTCTCCCCGGACTTGTCAGAAAGATACTACAATAACGTTTTTTTTTCAAAAAAGACACCTATATAAACATAAAAAGTAAAACCTGAATACAAAATTTGATCGAACTTTCGAATTGTTTTCGAGATACACGCAATAAATTTAAATTACATATATACATCAATTGCTTGCTCATTTAATATAACAAGATACAACGTAACAAAACAGTAATAAGTAATATAGGTTATCCGTGTAACAAGTATAATATTATGTGTGCAGTGTGTGTGAGTGAGCGTGTGTGTGTGCAACTCACACGTTGGTGAGCACGGCGTCGTGGTGCGCGCGCAGGTGGCGCTGCAGCGCGGCCAGCGCCTCGCCGCCCGCGCCGCGCCGCGCCGCGCCCGCCGCCTCCACCGCGCGCGCCTGGCTGTCTACCAACCTGACGGGCAACCATACATTTATATCATAATAATAATAATTTTAATTCAAGATATTGCACCCATATGTTGTTAGTAATAAAACAATTTTGCCTTAAATACTGAGAGACTATATTAGTGTATAAAATTATTAATTTATTTATTTTTATATTTTATATTGAGTTAATTATTACAATAAATAAATATTCAAATTTAAATTAAAAAATCACATAATTTAATAAATTATTAATTACTTCGATATTTAGTAAAATAAAAAAAAATATAATAATTAATTATTAATCAATTTAAATACTTGGCCGGGCTCTTGGAGCATGTATGCATGCTGACACAATTCTTTTTAAAATACAATACAATAATAATATAGCCTACACTAAACTCCCCTCCGTCTTAAAAGTAGATCCATACCCAGCAATGAGACGTTTAAAAAAAACAAAATAGCTAAATACAAACTAAAATAAACTAATTTCTGTTTTTTTTATTTCTCACTTAAAATGTGGACTAAGCTGCCCAACAACTGTGTTTTTTTTTTCAAATAGATTCATATTTTTTTTAATTATATAGACTACCCTTAAGATATAATCTATTTATTCAATTATAATTAAATTATAGTCAGCAAAGCTATTTCATGCACAAACAAATATATTAATTAGTCATTGTCATACGGTACTCGTCGATATTTCAAGCAATTCCCTATACAAACCAACAAACAAACAAACAAACGAACATACCCATCAGTCAAAGCGTTGAGGTACTCTGCGAGGTGCCGCAGCGTCCTGTCGTACAGCTTGACGTTGGCGACGTGCGCCGCGTACTCCGCGCGCGCGCCCTGCTCCGGGCTGAGGGAGAGACGGACTGGCTGGAACACCTGTGGAAGAGTTTGGTTTTAGTTTTATAGTATAAGAGAGTATGAGAATTGTATTCAGCCCTTTTTAACGTCCCACTGCTGGGCACGGGCCTCCCTTCAATACGTGGGGGATCAGGCCATAGCCATAGTCCACCACGCTGGCTGAGTGCGAGTTGGCGGACTTCACATGTCTTTCAAAAACTTGCTAGGTTGTCTCAGACATGCAAGTTACGATATTTTCCTTCACCTTAAAGTGGTAATCATGTTAAAAATAATTCGCACATGAAAATATCAGAGGTGGGAGACCCGGGATTTGAACTCGCTTCACTCGGTTTCTCAAGCGAGCGCGTTACCACTGGGCTACCACTTAAGCTTTATGAGTAAGAGAATTAAAGAAACGAAACAGATATTATATAGGTATAGCTTAGTCTGCCATGGATATAGCATGAAGTTGTGCGTATATATGAAGGTAAAATTTTGCATGGCGTATTTTAAGAACGGTCCCTGCGGACATATCGGGCGAAGCGTTGACAAGTCGCTAGTATTGAAAATGCCACTATAAATCGACTTTATTGAATTTTCTCTTCAACAATATTTTATGAAAATTTTAAGACTCTATTCGACTCTACCCCCAAAAAAATATCCAATGTCCTTCCCAGGGTCACAAACTATCTTCTTACCAAATTTCATCTAAATCGGTCAAGTAGTTTTTAAGTATATTCGTTACAAACATACAAAAAAAAAACTTTCCTCTTTATAATAGTAACAAAAATTAGAAGTGTAGATAAAACAATATCATACCGTTTTCTGAATTTCCTTTATCCTATTATTCAAATCTTGTATTTGTTCTTTATACATTTTGTTTGATTCCGCTGCACCCGACTTGTACTGTGTGAATTCTAGCTGGAATATAAAAACAAAATAACATTACTACAGGTATTAATTCACTAAAAATTTAGATGAAATTTAATACACAAATACCCCACACACTTATAGATGCACCTTTTTTTGTATTAGTTATGTTGGGAAATGCATTTACGCATACCACCCGTAGACATACAGGTGGCTATGTGAGACTCACCGGCTAGAAAAGCCAGTACTACCCACTAAAAGCCAACGGAACCTCCCCAGTCTTAATTCGGCACTCAACCACTCGGCCCCGACGGCAGGTCTGCCGAAGCAGACCACAACAACCATGGGTTTGCTCCACAGTCTACTCTGCTGTCAGAACAGCACCAGGAACAAAGTACCAGTTTTCAAGTGTAGAGACAGTGAAAATGTTACATTTTTTCCATCGAGTTCTCATCCGTGAAGTGTGCCGAATATGACGTGCGATAAGGAATTTTGTTCTAAAAATAGGTATATAACTAACCTTTATATTTTCCAAATCCAATATCTTAATTTGAGCCTTTTTGAGCTCATTCTGTAAGTAAGTTATTTTGCCTTCGAGTTGTTGTATGTAGGCATCACGCTTTGCCATTTCTTCTGGAGAAACGTTCTAGAATATACAAATATAAATCAATAACTTACTTTTTGACCGACTTCAAAAAAATGTTAGTACTTAATTTTTATATAATATATGTAATTACTTTTTTGTATGAGTGTATGTTACGCTCAATAATTGTCACCCAATTTAACGATTCGTTGAGTTTCAATAATAGTTTAAAACAAAAATTAAAAACCGTAAGTATAGAAATCAGCAAGACATTTATGTATTTATGTATTCGTTTAATTATTATTAAACGATAGAATTAATGAGGACAGTCATTTCTGGTGCTACCAGTTGGAGACACTGCAGAGTAAAGTTTTACTGCTGTTGGTGAAAAGAGGCCAATATTTAATACCCTACGACGGGTGAAATTTTTTTGAAAAAAAATCATTAAAATGGCTCTTCTGTAAAGTTAAGAAAATGTCGCTTAAACCAAATAGCCTTTCACCCGTCGCATATAATACCAATAATTGTTAGCACAAAACCAGTTCACACCAGTTCTCAGAAGACAGTTTACCAGGATTTTACTTAAAATAATTGATAATCCCAATAATATTATAAATGCGAAAGTTTGAATGGATATTTGTTACTCAATCACGCCAAAACGTTCTAACGGATCTGGATGAAATTTAACACAGATTAGATTATAGACTAAAATAGCACATCTAGCTTACTTTTTATCCCGGAAAAATGTACGGTCCCCGAGGGATAGATTCCTTTTAGTTTTTCTTATAAATATAATATTTTTTATAAATAAAATATTTCTAGGAAAAAGCGTTTTTTGTAAATAAAATATTGACTTTTTCTTAACTCTTCTTTTAAAGCAGCTCATGAATAATTAGTAAAAATCCACGAAGAAAAGCTCGCACACAGTAAACATTCAGTGTTATTTGACATTTCTAGACACCTCACTCTACACTAGCGCCCTCTCGCGGCGAATTTGAACGCGGTATACCTCATTATGACGTTTTGCTTTTAAATACTCACTGAGCTCGAAGAGTTCAATTTAGTTTGCAAATCATTTATTATGAAGTGTAACTTTTTCAACTCCTGACTGTGATCGTTCTCTTTACTGGAAAGTAATAGCTGAAAACAATAAACGAAATGAAAATAATATGGACAGTGGGAGCCAAGTGGTTAGCTAGCTTGAGAAACCGAGTGAAGCGGGTTCAAATCCCGCGTCGCGCAACTCTAAAATTTTCATGTGCGAATCATTTCCACCTTTATTTATTATTTATTACCACTAGTCTTATGGTGAAAGAAAACATCGTGAATCGTGAAAGGACACCTGCATATCTGAGAAAACCTAGCAAGTTTTCGCAAGACATGTGTAGTCCGCCAACCCAACAACACTTGGCCAGCGTGGTGGACTCTTAAATACTTGGATCAATTTTGAAAAAACTAAAATAAATGAATGCAAAGAGGACGAGGAAGAGGAAGCGAGTTCAAATCCCGGGTCTCACACTTCTCATTTTTTCATTTGCGAATCATTTCCAACATGATTACCACTTGTCTTAACGGTGAAGGAAAACATCGTGAGGAAACCTGCATGTCTTAGAGAACTTAGCAAGTTTTCAAAAGACATGTGAAGTCCGCCAACCCGCACTTGGCCAGCGTGGTGGACTATGGCCTGATCCCCCTCGTATTGAAAGGAGGCCCGTGCCCAGCAGTGGGATGTTAAAAAGGGCTGAATACATACATACATACAATGATAACTATTAAAAATATTTTTTCATGTATAAAAACCTCGATATTTTTCAACTTCTCCTTCGCATCGTCCCGCTCCTTGGACGTGGAGTCTATTATATTTTCCAGTGACTCCTTCTGCCACGACAACTTTTCATTATCTACAATCAACTGAAAAGAAAAAATACCTGTACATATAATAAAAATGTAACTAAGCCGAATCTGTACATTAAATATTTTTTGGAAAATCTTATTGAAATAGACATTATTATCGATACAGAGGCCGAATCTATAGTTTTTAGAATTTTTGTCCGTCTGTATGTCTGAGCACGCATCAAGAGAAAACCACGGAACAGATTTTGATGAAATTTGGTATGAAGATAGCTGAGTATACGGTTCAACGTATAGGATACTTTTTACTGCAGGAAAATATCTCTTCTCTGAGAAATGAATAACCATTAAAACGTATCTAGGGACGAACTCGAGCGGAGCGAGGGTGAGTCGCTAGTTTATTTAATAAATAGAATGACTTGACTACCGGAGGAAAGCTTAATCAGTGACTTAATCACATAAGAATAATCTACTATTTAATATAGTTTTAATTGAACAGACTTCTAGCAGATCACATTTATGCATAAACTAACATACATAATGCGCTTAGAACGCTAATATTAGGTACATTTTGTTATTTGTAGATTCTATTACGGTGTCCGATGGTCAAGTCATTCTATTTATTAAATAAAGACGTCTACTATTGATACAGTCTCTATAAAATGTTGTAATTTAACTAATTAAGTAATAACTTATGATAAAGTTGTTGAATAGATGCTTCCATAGATAGTATGTTTTTTATTATATATATAACCACATTGGTTCATTTATTACTTAATAAATTAACCGATTTGGTTTAACATTAGATCCCAAAACTTTTTGCGGTAGAAGAACTGCATTGCGTGACTTGCATTTATTACATTTTATCTTTTTCATGGTATCTAGTTTTATCAACGAAGAAAATGCTAAGATGTACGTACTTCCATGATACGCATGTCGGAGCATATATATATCGTGGTGGCCCTTAATCTGCTTTTACCCAATAATCGTAAAATAATAAATTTGACCACACGTTTTGCTCAGTTTGTAGTGATCCTACTTGCTGTGCCAGCGGTCGCGGGTTCGAGTCCCGCTAGGGGAATTCATTTGTGTGATGAACACGAATGTGTGTACTCTAGTCATTGGTGTTTATATTTAATATATGTATATATTTAAAGTTATATATGTGTAGTGTATCTATTAACTGTCTGGTATCCATAACACAAGCCTCGTAGCTTACCATGGAACTAGATGGTGCTGTGTGTTAATGTCCCAATATATATTTAATATTTAATCGAACCCGGGACCCTCCGTATATACTAGTCATTAAAGTCTAGATCTAGACCAACATGGCTTTCTATTATACTTGATTAACGTTACGTTTCATATTTCTGCACACGACGCAAGCAAATTCCTTATAATATGATACCTGATATCTAGCTTACAGAACTGAATAAATATAAACATAGGTTCATCATATTATTAATATGCTTATTTATATGCGAGCGGGAGTTCGTAACAAATTTTAATGTTTATGAAGACATACAAATAAGAATAGTTATAAAAACACAAAATAAAAACATACATATAATAAAATTCAACTGAGTCGAATCTGTACATTAAATATTTTTCGAAAAATCTTATTGAAATAGTCATTATTATCGATAGAGGCCGAATGTATACTTTTTAGATTTTTTGTCTGTCTGTCTGGGAACGCATTACGAGAAACCACTGGACAGATTTTATGAAATTGATATGATGATAGCTGGTTATCCAGGTCAATATATAGGATACTTTTTATTGCGGAAAATTATCTCATCTCTGGGAAATCTACATATAAAACATACATATACACGTTAAAACGTATTAATATAAACTTAATTATGTAAGTTTAATATTGATAAAGGTATGTATATTCTATTGATATACAAAAGCTGAAAGTACAAAATTAGTGTTTCAAAAATGTCCTCAAAAAGAAGTGCCCAATTCAAAATTGAATTGCGCTTTTTTCAAATCTCTTTTGTTCATTGCTTTTCGGAGGATAAAATTAAAACGCACGTTGTTTCATTCAAAATAGTACTTTATGTGGTGTGCGTAAGTTCGAATTTGTGTTTAGACAATTAGAACTTTCGATTTTCGACGCCACTTTTTGAAGAGATATTTTTTAGAAAATGTTTATCTATGTTTTTATATATCAATGGTATAATCTCTTTTTGTTGATATTTTATTTGAATCAGTCCAATAGATTCGGAGATTAGTCTGTACAAACAGACAAACAGACAGAGAAACAAAAAAATTGAAAAAAAACAGGATTTGTTTTATTTGTCTACTTACATCCCCCTGACTCGGTTTTTAGCCATTTTTTTTCTATGTACAGACATTCGACCTCTACAGTTTTATTATAGTATAGATAGGTTATAATAATATGATAGTCCCATATTTAAGTACATAGCTAAGAACAAATTCCAACGCCAATGGTGAAATAATTTATTTTTTAAATAAAACTACCTTTCAGATTTTTACTGATTTATTTTGATTTTTGGTACCCAACGTTTTGAATGCTTTACAGCAATCATGATCTGGTGCTTTATAGCAGTCTCCCCCATGACCACGATTGCTGATGACAAATATTCGCGTAAATCTAAAAAATTATTAATTTATTTTTAATGTTTCACTATTGTATTTACCTGTCTCCTTTGTTTTTCAACAAGTTCCAACTGGGCGGTCAGCTTGTCTATGGTGTCTTCGTCTGGGGAGGTCACGAATTCGACCACCGATGATGCACCGGACTTACTTTCGCCCGTCTCGTTGTTAACCACCGCATCTCCGTCCACTAAACGCGATAAGTCTAACTTGAGCTGCTTGTTTTCTTGACGAAGCTATAAAAAGTTATTTATATATTAGACGTTATTTTGTACTTGAAACATGCTTAAAAAATCATGTTATTAGTTTCGTTTAGAGACAGAAAATAGTTGAACACCCATCCATTCAGATTGACTGTACTGATTTAAATAATACCTCTTGTGTAAAATGTACAGCATATTATTTGCCTTAAAAACATTTTCAATTTTGATTACAACTTATTCTATATAAAATCAAAATAGTAACTTGGCAGCCGGCAGGCGCTTGAATATTTCTTGCACCTTATTAAACAATATTAATAAAACCAAGAGTCAAACAAAGTGCTTGACACAAATTGTGAGAAAGTTCCTCAGTCTGAAGCAAAGTCAAATTAGTTTTTTTTATACTTTAAGATACATATATTCTTCCCTTTTTAATGTCTAACTACTAGCACAGGCCTCAGTAGGAGTAAGTGTAGCAACAATAGCCAAGTGCAGATTGGTAGATTTTACATGTCTTTCGAAAATTTGTCAGGGTTTATAATGTTATCGTTCACCATATTATTTTTACGTTCAACACATTTTTTATGCAGTAATTTGATTTTATTTAGAAATAAAAGATATAACAAAATAAAAGCTTTTATATAAAAATAATATTGTCAAAAAAATCTCATACCCTCTCCACCAATTCCCTAGTTTCATCAAACTTTTCTTTATGCAACCTGTGTGTCTTTAGCATATCCTCTTGGCAGGACGCGATCAGCATGAACTGTTCCTTCATAGAGTCATTGTTTTGTTTCAATGTCTCTTTTAGCACGACATTTTCATCTAGCAGTTCTCCAAAACGTTTTTGGAGTTCCTCAGTGCTTCGGTCATCGGTTATTATAGTGCTGGCAACCATCATGCTAGCTGGTGAGGGCTGTTCACAAACAACCCCATAAATCTTAGTAATATTATAAATCCTACTACTATTATGAATGTGAAAGTTTGTGAGGATGGATGGATGTTATTCATTCATGCCGGCTGAACAGATCTGGATAAAATTTGGCACAGAAATAGATTATAGTCTGGAATAGCACAATATTCTGTAAAAATGTATGGTTGCCATGGGATAGATTGTTTTTGTTTTTCATTAGCAACAATCCCAAGCAAAGTGAGGGTAAGTAGCTAGTGTATTAATAAATAAATTATCAATAATATAGTTTTTTTTTCATAAACTTCTCTACAGTAATAAAATATATATTTAAATAAAAAGAAAAATGCTGTTTAAGTTTAAATTCTATTAAAAAATAATCTTGTAGAATATCTCAAAGTATACTAAATATACATTTCTGTATTTACATTTATATGTATTAAGGTATTTAATATATAATAATTAGTCAATTGTATTTATATGTATAAAGTAAATTATCTATGACTAAGCAATTTTGCATATTGAAAGGCTCATTTCCTATCTAAATAAAAGGCACTTATGGATAACCATTCATAATAAAACTATTATATTATAATATAAATATAATAAAACAATAACCTTTTCTTATTAAACTTATTTGAACATAATGTATAAAAATGGAATATTAATTCAACTTGCAAAAAAATTTAGAAGTTTTTTCTTTATGATTACATTAATAGTTAATACAGTGTGGTAACATAAAACATACAAATTTTAATGTATATTATATAATTTTCATTCAATTTGATGTCCAGGTACATACTTACATACTTTACATACATACTTACATATTATTTATAATTGAAAAAAAATTGTCAGAAAACTTACAACACTTATGAGTAATATTACTCAACTTCTTTCGTTATATTTTCACTATTCAATTAATGGCAATTAAGGCAAGTAATGTGTTCTTAGACATACATACATACACATATCATTAAAACTTATTAAACTCGTTTGTAAACACTTATGTAATTATTAGTCAAGACTTAAAAGTAAAAAAGAATTGTGTAAGCTGTGAATAATGTACAAGTTGATTATAAATATGAGAACATTGCTTCTATGATAATGATTCATATTATAAAATTAATTTAAAGGTAAAATAGTAACTTTAAGAAAATATTTAATAAACTTAAAGTGAAAGGTTTAATGATTTCTTTTATTGATGTCTTTTATTGTAATATTGAAATTACACTGCATTCAAGATTTTATTGTTAGGGATATGGTTACTTACATATACTATATTTATTCAGTTGACACAAAAATATTTATACTTACACTATCTGCAAGACTGAATTGTGCTTTAAAAGCCATGTTGGCCTCAACAGAGAGATCTTTCATGGCATCTTCTATTTGAGACTTATCCAATGGTTGACCGTTCAGAGTCCCATTACATTTCTCCACGTCCATGCTAGCTCCAGGGGAGGAACCGAGTATTATTATGTAGGAATCGTCATCAGTTTCGGTCTTAGTTGTCATCTTTTATCATACCTACATAAAATAAAAAAATATAGACATTTATTTACGTAATATATAATACATACTTTTTAGACGATTTTTCATTTATTCTAGATATTCAGGATAAAAGGAAAAGTTAGATCACAAAACTGAAATTAATAAATAAAAAATAACTTTGTAATAAGGACATTTATCAACTCACCAAAAGATTGAAGGTATCTAGTATTTATGATATCTCTTATTTTGCTCAATCTTTTCGCGTGACAACTGTTTTGATTGATTTTCAATCAAGGCCGAAACTCACATTGATAATTTATATTTGTCAAAACAATGCAAAATGCAAATTCACTATTGATAGCCAATCACATATGAATGAAATTCTTCAGCGCTGCAAATTGCAATTTGATCTTTATTATTCATCTACAATTTTTTTTTATGTTGATAGTGCGCGACACAGAGTAATCAGTAAAACTAACTAAAATCGGTCACAGCCTACAAGATATAATCTATAACTAACAACTCGGGTAACTTAATATGTTATGACAAGAAGAAATAATTTCATTATTTTCTTTAAAATCAGTTTGTTGTCTTAGTATAAAATTAAGTGCTAATGGTAATATCAATCTAAATATTGTGCGTCTCGAAAAGCACTTTAATCATTAATGACATAGGTCAGAAAAGTTTGTGTTTTATTTATGTTCAAATAATCTGGCTAGATTTTTGCTTCCAATTCCTAGTATAGCTTTATACTAATAAATTTCTGTAATAATTATTATACAATATCTTTATTTATTATATAACCTTAATTAAGATTTTTTAATTTTAAGGTACCTACCTACATAACTACGATTAATAATATATATTATAGCACTATTATTGTTTGACGTTATACAAATAACTTTATATTTAAAAAAAATTGAAAATCATCATAAAATTGAACATTAGCCGTATATCTTTATATATAATATGGCTATTTTTTTCTAATAATTTATTGTGAACTTATAGGCCCATAACGCTTAGTTGCTTTTTACCTAACAAAATTAAATAAGTATCTACAATTTACATTTCACTGTGACACGGCCGTCAATCACTTCACAGTTGTCAGTTGTCAGTGAACGTCATTGTGTTAAAAGAAGTGGTCTAGTCAGTGTATTTTTTATTTTTGTGTATTTTGTTAATTTAATTTAAGTGAAATGTCTAATGAAAATGCTTTAGACTTACAATATGTGCTCGAGAGTTTTCAAAGAAGTTTTAAAGAAGATGATGACGTGATAATAGGGGCTTACATAGACGCCTATAACGAACTAGTAAAGTAAGATTAACTGATTTAAGTTTGTGTATCCATATGGTAATATTTGGAATATGATACAATTTTGTTTGTTTAGGTTCTTGAATCTGATTGGGTCAGTTTTTTCCTTTGTAAGCAGCGATGTTAAAAGTAAAATTAAGATAATGGAAAAACACAGAGCAGGGGAGGACACTTTTTATTATGAGTCTTTTAAGAAAATGATGAAGTATGAAAAGGAAACTAGTTTACACGAAAAGAATGGATTTGTATCGGGTTCGAGAACAATGTTAAGATTGCATAGGGGTTTAGGTTTGTACTTATAAAAAAATTGCTATTCTATGGCTTCACAATATAAAATTAGAACAATTCTATAAATATAAATTCAACATAAAATATTTAAATATTAATAACTTACTATAAAAGCTTGATATTATATAGCTTGATATTAGCATATAAATTAGATATTAAAAAACATATAAATTTAATCCATTGTAAATTGTAATTTTCAGATTTTATAAGGCTTTTTCTAAGGAGATTAAGTGAAAGTGAGGAATCTGTGAATACCTGCACAATGTGCCAGAATTCATACAATGATACACTTGCAGAATATCATCCTTGGTATATAAGGAAAGCAGCAACATTAGCTATGCATGCCCTGCCCTCTAGACCAGATTTATTAAAAAAGGTAAAATTATATTTTGTACTAAAATTTTTTACAAGAAGCATTAAAAAAACTAATATTGCACACACTAATATTACTATATAAATAGTTTAAAAGTTAAACTCGTAATACTTTTTAGTATTTATATTTTCTTTCAAAGAGGAGATATTAAAAAATATTATTTACTTTTAAATAAGTACTGTGCCAATTTTATTATATATATTTTTTTATAAAATAAAGGATATATTTTATCTATGCAGTTTCTTATGTAACTTATAATATCTAGTTACTGATAATAATCTCATAGATTAAGGACCATATATATATGCATTCACTTTTATCAATTTTAATAGATAGCAGTTACCAAGACTTAGTTGATATAAAATTAGCCTTTAACAAGGCTATAAATTGCATAAAGTTCAAAAACTCAAAAGACTGTGCTTAGTTTATTTTTATAGCATTTTTATTTGCTGAAGTATTTTATATTTAATATATTTTATTTAATTCTGTCCATTTGTTGTGTATGTTTATAAGTTTTTAATATCCAATAATTTTAATATCATATATGTATAACCAAAGGCAAGTCTTCTTCAGTGCTTTATAATGTTGAAAGAAACATTGAATAGAAAAATGTCAGATCTCTGAAAGTATGAAATGACAACTTACTCTTACTTCTATTGGGCCCTTGTTATCTTTTTGCCTTAGATTCTTATGCTTTATTTCAAACTGTTTAGGTGGTACACACTGATAAACCACTAAAATGGTCAGTTCCAACTTCAATTAAAGTTATTATGATTTGATATTAAACATGATTTTATTGGGATAAAAAACAGCCACAAACATTTGGTGGTAATGTGCTTTCTTATTAGTGAAAGAATTTTGAGAATCAGATCAGTAGTTTCAGAGATTACGTATTATATAGGGGATGTCCCCTCTGATCTTATCTCTGAATACAAACAAATTTTACCTCTTTTTGACCGTACTGTGTGTGTGTGTAGATTATATGAGTCTAATTGATCACACAGTTTTATTCATTTTTCACTATTGCCTAACATTGTTGTTTATAAGTTAAATAATAATATATTTTATATACAAACATGGGGGTTTCAAGCAATTTGTTTACATAAAGGGGTTTTCCAATAATGCTTTATATTTACATAGTCATATTCAATAAGTAAAATTTAACAAAGTTTACCTTGTTTCATTGAAATGTTTATCAATAAAAATTATCAGTTCTAAGTAAAAATAACAATAATTTGTTGATATGTTTTTCTGATAAATTTAGCCATAATATATAATAATTGAATAGATATTGTATACATAAAAAATAACAATGAAAATTACATTGATTGTTTGAAGGTTGAAGTCATTCGCACAAATAGAATCCATTATTTATCAAGTAGTGATTTGAATTGAAAATTATTAGTAGAACAATGTCGGTAGTAGAACATTATTACTTCGTTTGAAAATGGAAATTTTAATAATCATTATTTAGCTCGATATGACTACATAATATATGATTAACTTGCTGTTATTTTACCAATAGTCTGTTTATCATCAGCAACGAGGAACGTTTCATTCTTGCCGCGAGATGTACATACTCGTATGTATGTCTCCTACTGCATAATACTATATTCCTTTGTGAACTTGTATTCATCTTTTTTAATTAGCTTTTATGCAGTGGGGTTTTTTATTTTTATAATATATTTGTTTATTTACAGGTTTTTAAGTATTTTTGGTAGAAAAGTTAGCGAAAATGGTTGTTGACCAACTTTAAATAATTATATATCCTAAGCTGTTATTTAAAACGGAAAATGATGAAAGAAACCAAAAAATGATGAAAGAAACCTAAAAATGATTTTTAAATACCTATTCAATAATACCCCACTTGACATAGTTCGTCGATATTCATTTTTTTCTTTTTCACATTATGGAATCTATTAGCCCCCATATTTAATTTTTTTTATGTCACGTATCTAAGAACACTTGGACTAATAATACGAATCTAACGATACCTTAATTAAAGAAATCCATGGAGTGGTTTGGAAGATATGAGGGAATTAAAAATATTACAAACATACAAATATAAGCGCGAAAAACATAACCCTTTCCTTGCAGTCGGGTAAAAATTAATTTACTCTGTGCCAGTTTTGTTTAATTAATGTAAGCAAGATTAAATCTTAGCTATTTCGAGTCTTATATAATTAAGCGAGCTTTGTTATCTCATAAATGTTATGTACATATTTATAAGAATTTTATTAGAGTCAACGTAAAAAGTTGTACATTTATTTTATAAATAATTATTGTTTAAAAAGACCTAAAAGAAAAATAATTAATAGTAATGAGTATTTTTATTAGGTACTATAGAAACGAGTATTAATATGAATAATTATGAACTCATTGTTGCATTTCAATACTTTTAGTAGGTCTTAAGATTTAGAGGAGCTTCATAGAGGTCATACTTATTGCTTAATAAATAGTTTGCTTATGATTTTTAAAATTTATATTAGGTATAGACTTAAAATTGTATCTAGCTATAAAATTACTTTCTTTTCAATAGAAATCAAGTGAAAACTTTATCAGTTAACAACTGATAATAATCCTACTGATTAAACGCTTAAAATACGTCACGTTTTTTCATTACTCTTTTATCAGTTTGAAGCGATAGCGGTAATTTATATCGCGTCATACACGTAAAATCGCAAAAGGGGCTAAGTTCAGCAGAAATAAAGAGGTCGTCGGCGTCGTTGATAAAAAAATGAGATCTAAACGTGTCAAATAATTTCGTAATAGTTTATTTAGCAATGGTTATATGAATACCTTTTTTTTTAACGTTGGGAAATGCATTTACGCACGAGGTTTTATTTTTCATTACCGACGAACCCGAGCAAACCGAAGATGAGCCGCTAGTACAATAAACACGATATCTTCATCAGCTGAACTTTAAGGAATAGATTTTTCTCAAGAAAATATCCTCCCCATATACTTACTTTTAAAACTTATTTTTATGTCGATAAAAGGTAATTTGAGTTAAAAAAATAAAGCATAGCAAGCATATCAACACTATGAAATTACAAAGTTTTATTATATTACTATATAATTTCATGATTGTTTTTCAATCGCAGGAAATAAGTATTTCGTGTAATTTTTAAACGATTTTTTTTTGAAATTTTAGCCTTTTATTACGCTTGGATTCCGCGACATTTTTTGTATTATAAATACCTATAAAGACTAAAAGATCATTTGCGTTTTGCACATTTATTTCAACACCCTGGCGAATAGGTCCAAAGTTCAAACCATACATCATGAAGGTGTTGCAGAAGTTTGTTGTCTGGTACGAACGGTAAAGCATCCATCTCGACATCCATTCCGCACCACATAGTACCATATATCTTTAAAAGATAATATGCTCCTCAAATTTACTCGAAATATGAATTTCGAGACGACAAAAACTTTACTCTCATTTGTGACCATGTTTGCTGTAAAGCGTTCTAAATATCCGGAAAAAAACTATATAAAACCGCGACAGAATCTGAAAAAATTGCTTTCTTTTTTTTTTTTTTAAATATAGCATTTACAGTTGTTTGGTGTTGCAGATATTCGGAACAGAAGATAAGTTAGCAGAGGCGCTCGCGATTTTGCCCCAAACGCTGCAATCGTGTGACGAAGCCTACAAACGTGTAGAACAACTCTACACGGACTTCGATTTCCACGGTTTGCCCTAAGTATTATTGAGCATTTATGCATTGTAAAATAATCTCAGAAATATACAAGGTGTTTATGTTTTATATGTCCAAAGTATGGGAGCTGCTCAAGTTATTAATATATTTCTCACATTATTCGTAATTTTTATATAGGTACTACTAGTGAGCGTATGTTACATTAACTTTAATTGGATTTCTATATGATACCTGTATACAAATCACCAAAAAATACACTAATGTTTTTAAAGCTTACACATTTTACTGACTGAAACTTATTTATTGAGCCAGTTACGCTTTTTAACATCACGTTACGTTACGACCCTTAGCAAGTCTAGTAAAAAAGCTATTATATGCTATAGATATACCTATAAATGTAAAATAAAAATAGGTATTAATAAATTTAAAAAAAAATTGTGCTCAGTTTATAAAACGTTATACATATTATCATTTTATTCTAAAATATGTAGGTCATTACTCAGCTTAAATGTTAATATTGCTATCGTGCCATTTTAAATATGTAGCAATATGTAGAATTACATACGTTTCAAATTTGTACGGCCGACATCTTGTATATTTTTGATAGAGTACCTACCATCTGTTGACAGCTTGGTAAATGACATCCAGTGATGGTGTTTTATATTATTTATTATTTACGCGCCAAATAGTAAAATTTTAAATTAGTAATTAATTTTATGCCTGACTTAATTTTTTTTCTTTACTTCTAAGTTTTTTTTTCTATAGATTTTTATTGTTTTACAATTATGTTGGTGCTTATCAGCTTATATGTTATCTATATTCATATAAACTTCGCGTAATCAGTAGTGTTTAGCATAATATAATTTCAAGTTTTATGAAAAAAAATACAACTAAATTTTTATTTTTTACTATGAATTTTACCTACTAGCGGATCACTCTTGCTTAGCTTAGTGAAAAACAATAACAAATCTATCCCACGGCAACCGTACATTTTTTCGGCATAAAAAGTAGCCTATGTGCTTATTCCAGCCTATAATAATCTATCTCTGTACCAAATTTCATCTAGGTCCGATCAACCGTTCTGGCGTGATAACAACATCCATCCATCAAACTTTCGCATTTATAATATTAATGGGATGGTATTGAACGACAAAATGGCGTTAAATTACATGCTTCAAATAGTAACATCATGTACAGACTACAGTATTAAAACCCAGGGATTTCCTTAGTATTTATTAATCAGATTTATCAGCCTTTTAAAGTGACGATGAAGTTATGAGTTTTTATCTGGTTTATTATATTATACCTAACTATATGTTAGGTATAATATAATAAACAAGATAAAAACGTGTGAATCGATAATAATTACAGTGATGATTGATAATATTTAAGTATACCTTCTAAAAAGAAATATTTATATATAACTTAAATTTAAATGACTATGTATTTCCAAAAAATATTTTATTTTCATTAAAAAATTAAAAGACTAATGGCCGATTTCACCAACGTCACCTAACTTTAAGGGATCCCCTAAGCATAGTTAGGGGGCTGTTAGAGGACAGTTTTTGTTTTACCGACAGTTAGGGGTCACCTAAAAATTTTTTTTTTATTAAAATGCCATCTAAATATAAGTACTAGAAACACAGACTCTGACGATGGTAAACGAAATTTAATTTAGGGGCTAGTTTAGGGGAACTTTTAAGCTAGGGATCTCATACGTAGGTGTTAGCTTAAGTGATGTTGGTGAAATCGGGCATAAAAGTCTTAAATTAAAGTAATAAGAAACAGCGTATGGAACTATAAAAATGAAGCCAAAATTATGCTTTTCGAATCTCCACGGCCAAGGAACCTATTTATATTTCATACAATAAAACGAGCTTTTCAAGCTTTTAAAGCTTCAATGAAATAAAACTACCTGCATAATTCTTACGTATTTAACTTACGGTATTAATGTAAATGCTTTCGAAAAGTGCAATTATTGTTAAACGACTAAAAATATGTATTATAAGCTTTTACGGCGCTATCTATTTCTTTATTGTACATGCTGGTCACTAGGATCTAGATGAGGGATTCCCAAACTATTTTGGGCAAAATACCATTTTCCAAAATGCCTCAGATCCCCAAAATTACTTTAAAAATCCTATTTATTTTTAATCCTAGTTTTTTTCCTATTGGTACAAAATATGTACTTACCAATTTTAAAAGCCTTGCACGCTTATCGACTTGTTTTGTTTTTTAATAGTACAACAATAATACTTCCTACAAAAATATTCCTCATTCTTATAACAAGTTGGTGCACGTAACGCGACATAAACAGTGTCTTGAAAGTTTCAAATAACAACTTGTGTTAATTAATAGGGGTCGATTTTTAAATCTCATCGACCCCCAAAATCAGTTTTCGTTCGGTCAGAACGAGTTATGAAGCATCTAGATTCTAGTGGCTAGCATGTTCATTGTACAGCTGCAGGTAATAAAGTAATGGGTTTTAGCCAGGGTATTGTTTACATTAAACCCCATTCTACGATAACAGCAAGATAGCAAAGTAGCTGCAGCAGCTATTTTCCGTCTTCCATCGCTCGAGCTTGAAAGCGACAAAGAAAGTGAAATGGCTATGTAAGCAATGTCACGTTGTCGCAAACGTTTAGATCAATTTTTACACTTTTACTAAGTGGCATAATGCAAGCATAGTAATAGAAATGTCAAAATATTTCTCAGTTGGGAAGTTTACAGTTGTCAAACTCAATCGAGCCTCTGAGAGTGCTTTATACGCACCGTCTTTCCTGCGCTACTCTTACCGGGGGTGCACTAGTATTTGCACAAATACTTGCTTACACTATAAAACTGTCATAATTCGTTGGCTCACTATTACAAGGTTATATGTGTCATTAGCTACAGTTTTGCAAAAACAAACCACTAGATAGCGGCACTTTAACTATAAGATATTCAATTTTACATAGTTCTGTTGTTTTTTCTTACGATAACAGAATAGCGAAGTTCTATGTAAAAATTACTAAACTTCATTAAAATTTACATAGAACCTTGTAATAGTAAGCCAACGCTCTCACGTATAATATGAAACTCGGTGAGTTTGGGCGCCGTGTCCGAAAATCGAGCAGCCATCAGTATTTTAATATTCTTCTCTTTCATAACTAAGCATCTTTTTTATTGTGTGTATAATATTAAAAATATAATATTTGAAGAATCAATATTATATAGTATTTATTCCGAAATTAAAAATATAACCTTACAAATATTTAATTTTTGTTATGTTTTTCAGAGATTATAATTTTTATATGACGTTTTCCTATTATAATATTGATCTCATACAATGGCTAATGCTTATCAAAATTATGTTAAACCCACGATTGTTCATATAATTAAGTGTATACAAAATTGTAATGTGTATATAATGAATGTTTCGTCTAGTTAATGATAGTCCAGGGAAATTGGGTTTGGCATATCACTTACAGTTAAAATTATATTATTTTTTCATAGTTATTATTAATATATTACGTTAATTTAATAAAAATATCTATTCGATTTGAAAACCAAAGACTTAATGGATAGAACATTATGAAATTATAAAATTTTCTTTATTATGTATAATGTATGTATATTATATATGACATTCGAATTTCTCTGGTCTATAATTTGATAAAGAAATGAGCTCAAGTGCAACTATTGCTCAGTTTACAAAATACAGTCGGTGTACCGTCAAGTGTCAATTGGATGTAGTTTAGCGTAATAGATCCAACCACAAAAACTTACTTTAGGTAAAATTGGAGTTTCAGTAAAATTGGTATATCAAAATAACAAGACCATATTATTTTTTTTGAAATTTCTCTTAAATATTGGATTTTTAATCTATTTTATATATATAAGTTGATATGCGCTTTTCGTGGGCTGGATCAATTTTGCATAACTACGTCCAATTCTGAAAATATGTCGAACTGCACTTAAGGCCGATTGTGCGTTAATAAAAATTAAAAATCACTTTCTAGATGATCTATGTATTATAAAAAATGTAGCACTTTTGACTTTGTTTATCATTAAATAGGTAATATTAATAAATAAATTGCGATATTATTATATAAGCTTAAAATATATTATAGTGAGTAGCTTTTTTAAATGAACTGTTTGAAAGAAATTTTGTACTGAACACGTTATTAAAGTTTTTTTTTAAACAACGCAATGTCCTGTTAGTAATATAGTGTAAATGAACATTCCCGAACCATTCCTAGAATTGGGAAGCGCGTTGTTTACTCACTGTACCTTTTGTAATTTATAATGCAATAAACGTTTTTGCTGGTTCTATGATGTTTTATTTATATATATTATTTTATTCATAATTAAATAAAACAAGATTGCAGTTGTACTTGTTTTTATTTGATTAATAACTAAAAAGTAAATAATAAGCATATCCCAAAATCAACAGTAAAAAATAAAATTATACAACTTAAGTTTACAACTATTTCTTATTTATAAAAACCATTAATGTTAATGCAATAGATACATACATACTTCTTTCGATCGTTCTTATAGAATAAAAAAAATATATGGACAACTAAAAAAAAATAAACAATTTAAATTCGGAACGGTCATATCATAAAATTATAAGCATATAAAATTATCTTAAGCACTATATTATTATAATCACTTTATTTTTACATATTATACAATGGCGGTTTGTGGCAGTTGCGTATACGAAAATAAAATTACAGTATGTGATGACACAAAGAGAAACGATTTTGTATAATTGATTAAGAAAAAAAAACATTACAATATAAAATTATTTAATAAGCCATGTTAATAGCAGTTTTATTATTTGTGTGGAACCGTAATTCTTTTTCTAAATAAAATTAGCGTAAGTTACTCCTTACAACATCAGATATCTGCCAGTGAAAGTCTCGTCGAAATCAGTCTCGCCGTTTCGAAAATTAGCCGGAACAAACAGACAGATTATTCAGAAACAAAAATTGCTTCTTTCTTATAAGTACATCATTTATAATTGATATGCATTTAGTACAAAGCTGTTATTTTGACATTACAATTTTATTTATCTGTAATATAGATTACTATGTTTAAAGAATATTATGTGTAATATTATATTTAAATTACATTAAAATAATATCTCAGTGGTAACTAAAGCATTTGCGTGTTTCCAGTAAAAATACCCAATCTCGCGAGATAGCATTCCTTACTATTCATCATTGCCATATAAGAAAAAAAAATGAATAATAATAATATTTGTGTAATTTACCACCTTTTATTTGGAATAAAATATAATTTATAACAGTAAGTACTAAAAAAAATATATTATGCAGAAACCCTATACAAAACATGCCGATTCTAGCAAATGGCTAAACTAAATCTACCTTAAATACACATGTAAAATAAATATTCATAATTATTTATAAGGTTATATGAACAAGTAACATCACATTTCATGGGACATTATAATTAAAATATTATTGCTCGATGAAGTATTAAATGGATATAAAAATGATCACAAAGCCATGACATTGTTAAAATGCATGTAACGTTTGAGCGTCAAATACGATTTCTATTAGGTAAAAACTAACTATCGCCCGCGGTGTTGCTTACATTATTTTTTCCTTAATAATGAATTAAGGATATATGGCAACGATAAAAAATGTATATATTTTATTGCTTTGATTTCGTTTTTATTTGTATATCTATTTGTTTAATAGTAAATTAAAAATTAGTGTCCGTAACACTAGAACTGAATGAAAAAATAATGGTAGTTGTTACGATTTGCAGATAACTCAGAAAAATACATTTTTTTAAGGAAACATAAAAGCGACATATATATATATATGTCGCTTTTATGTTTCCTTATATATATATATATATATATATATATATATATATATTTAAATCTTGTTTTGAATTGAAATACCCATACAGTTTAAATAAAACTATATTTTCGGATTTCCCGTCTGTCCGTCTCGTCAATCTCTCCCGTGACCATGATTGTTGTAAAGCATTCGAAACGTAGAGAAACAAAAATCAAAATAAATCCGCGAAGTAATCTGAAAAGAGAAAGAAAAAAGATATAGAAAGAATGTAACAAACAAAAGATAAAAACAATTATTAGTTATTTAAATTATAATATATACATTATGCAACATTAATAAAAACAAGAATGTACAGACACATCTCCATTATTTTCTTGCTTCTTTATATATACAGATGTAGGTCAAGCTTGAGGCGGTTCGTCCAAGGGGTTCGCTTGGGGGAGATCATGTAGCTGTTCCTCCCTGGTCGAGGAAGAACCGCTCCTGCTGGTGGATGACGAGGTGGATGATGAGGACTCACATTGATCAGAGGTGCCTGTGTCCCTGGAAAATATTTAAAATATTTAGCACTTGCGTTGTTAGCTTAGTTTGCTGAAGGCATCAATCAAAAAAGTACTATATACACAATCAGCGATAAAAAATGTCCTCACCTAATGAGCGCAAATTTGAACATTTAAGCGTGATATTAATTTAATTTTTTTTTTGCGAAAACAACTTTAAACATTGTATTTAAGGTTTAACTTACATTGTCGTATATTTATTTCAACTAGAACAATTACCTAAACACAATTGGTGACAGTTTTAAGAGAACTTTGATTGAACTAGATTGTGTATCTAGTACTTTTTGATTGATGGCTGAAATACATTTTAGTCAACTTTGAAAAACTTTGTAGCGAATGCTGTATAATAAAAACACTCGCAATATACTCTCTTAGATTTACGCGAATATTTGACATGTTAAATAAAACTATTTCATCAGATTTTTTTACGGATTTATTTTGACTTTTGGTTCCTGACGATTCGAATGCTTTACAGCATTCATGGTCAAGAGAGAGACTAAGGTTTTTGACCTCTCAAAGGTATTATTTGTTACAGACAGCATCTACCCACAAAATTACAGAAATTATATGAGTGCAGTGTATAAGGAGACTGATAATACCGAACTTACTTGTGAAATCCATTGGTCTGACACGTGTTGTATCCTCCACAGTGCTGACATTTCAGCCCCACTACATGGAACTTCACTGTTGAAAGCTGGAAAATAGAAAATTTTTACTCAGAAGTTAGAACCAAGAGATTTCATTTGAAAGTATTTATAACTAGTTCAAATAAATATCAATAGATAGCGTAAAATGTATGGAGTTATTGTTGATATTCATAAAACCGAAAATATGTATTATATCTATATATGTATATAAATCTTAGAAATAGCATTGTTTTTTTAAATTAAAGATAATAACTCTCTACTATACAGTACAACAAGTATTGGTCGTTTGAACAAGACGTAAGCACTAGTGATGTGCTGGTTCATTAAAAATGTATATCCACGGATACAGATACGGAACTCATATAACTAGCTACCTATCGTAAATGTTCAATTTTTTTTTTAATAAGCATACCATAAAGATTTGTCTTGTTTGTAACTCACTACATAAAATAAATGATCTAATTTTCATCTTGTGCAATACAAATGTATCAAATATATTTGTGATTTTAAGAAATAAATAAATATAAATATTAATTTAAATGGTGTTCAAAAGTCATTACTATCTACACTTCGAATTTCATTCACTTTATAAAATATAATGATAAAATCATCCAATCAAAGTCCGTCAAAATTGACGGATACGGACCCAGATCCTTTTTTATCCCTCGGATATCCGGGCATACGGATACGGATATCCAGTGCATCACTAGTAAGCTACTAAGATGACGATTAGTGTGACCCATACCTTATGGCAGTCTTTACATAATATAGTGGTCTTGTAATCGGCGTACTCGGGCGGCATCGGCGTCGCGGCCACTTCGGAGTCCAAATAGTTCCACAACTGTAATGTAGATAGAAAATAGTATAAAAAAATATATAAACACGGTTCAAATTTATAAAGATATTAATTACCTCCTCTATTTCAAAGTCGGTCAAAAAATTGTTCATTTGAAAGTACTTACTTAGAGACGTTTCGGTGATATCAGATATTGTTCCATATAAAAAATATCTCTAAGTTAAATTAAACTAGCAATATTATTACAGAATTATCAATTTTAACCAAAGCTTTCACATAAGATTGGTACGAATAAAGGCAATAAAGATAATAAATCTCAACCAAAATCAAATGCATGACAATTTCAATTCAACTTTCTTGTTAATGGCTTCAAAGCGGGCCAATTAAGTACAGATTACTTCAGCAATAACTCACAAAGGAGATTGGTCGATAAAATAAGATCATTAAAACTATATTAAATTATAATGTGCAAAAAAGGGAGTAAACCCCTTAATAAACCTTGAACCTAAACAAAAGGCAGCACAATACAACAACTTGAATATATTTAACGATTTTTTTAATTTTTTTTCTTTCATTTTATTTAAAAAAAACATTTGGTTTTGTTAATTAGTTTTACACCTATTAACTTTAAGTAATGCATACTGTCAACACTGTTCTAGTGCATGTTGTGTTCTCCAGTAATTGAGGGTACATTTTAAATATTGTCCAAAGAGCTTGTATTTTTTGTATTTTTATATGTACCTCTGTTGGAGATCCTTAATAAATAAATACAAATACTTACGTTGGTCATATCAATCATGCTAGTTTGACAGGTGGGGCAGGCGTAGTGACCAGATTTCAGCATCTGTTCGAAGCAGGGTCGGTGCAACAAGTGTCCACAGTCCGGAATGTGGCAAGGGATACGGGATGTGTGTATATCCTCGAGGCACACAGGACAGTTTGACCGGGATACGTTCTCAACACACTGAAAAGTTTAATTTACAAATATTTTACCAGTTTTTTTTGCCATGGTATTTATGTGTATCTCACACATGAAAAAGATATTGGTATCATATTTTGCTAGAGACCAGGGCGTTTTTTATAGATTAAAGAGTTTATTTTTGTAAATTATGTAATACAATAATTGATAGATGACTAAAAATTATTATATATTATTTTAAAAACAATTATTATTACTTATTAAGTACTACTGTTTCTTAAAAGCACAGTTTTTATCCACATAGGTATTTTTATTTATGCAAGTTCCAGCAACATGATAATGACTCGGACAATAGTAAGAACATTTATTTCAGGTGAATTCCCCTATTTTATTGATGATATCATCATATTATAATGTTTATACATGAAATGTTTGTTTTTAATAAGGGTATATACACACGATGTATTTTGGACACACCGTCGACGCGCGGTTTATGCTATTTTTTATCGGTATGAACACAAACAGTCTTTTGTAAGTTTTATTAAAGCAGACCACTCGCGGTCGTCAATTGCACGTACTGTACCGACGCGTTGAAAACTCGTCGTATGTATAGGCCCTAAGCATTCTTGCCAAGTGGTTTCTATTAATAAGTTAAGAAGTGTTGTTAAAATTAATAAATAAATGTTAAAATAAATAAAATGGCTCCAGTTGCATATATTCAATATATATACACTATTGCCAAGAAATAATATTCCATTGTTAGGCATTGTTAGAATAGTATAGTATCCAATATTAAATTACACAATTAAATGCAAACACCATCATGAAAAAAGGTGCTTCTACCAAATTTTATGTTATATCTGTTGTATAACTGCTGCAAAAGTATTATGAAACTACTCACTCTGTGGCCTACACGTTGTAATTGCACTGGAAGGCACATGTTACAGCGTTCACAATGGAAGAACCGGTCTCTTCCTCCCACACGACATATACCACAACCCTCACAGTGATATTGCTTTTTATCTTCATCATCAAATAAGTTGCAAATAAGGCATGTATACTGAAAATAAAAAGTTTATATTAACTAAAACAAATATATTTTTATATATTTAGATTCTTATACTTATAAGCAACTATGTAAATATTACTTGGTAGCTAAAAAAGAAAACAAAAACAGACATATATAATATACATTCTTATAATTACAGCTTAAAAAAATTTAGTCGCATAATAGTTACAACTTACAATTATTCAAAAATAGTGTAAAAAAAAACAAATAATGTTTATTGTTTAATTTCATATTTCATACATAGATTTTTTCTTTTGACATTAATACAGCACCATCTAGTTCCATGGTAAGCTGTGAGAGTTGAGTTATGGATACCAGATAGTTGATACACTACACATATATAACTTTAAATACAAAGTATAAACACATGAGTCTTAGTCATGGAACTGGAGCACAAACATTTGTGCTCATCACACAAATGAATGCCCAGCAGGACTCGAACCCGCGACCACTGGCCCATCAAGTACGGTCAACACAAACTAAGCCAAACATGTTGTCAATTAGAGAGTATTTTGATATTTTTTAATTTAATGTAGTTCATTACTTCTGGCTAATTCATATAATAAATAAAAATATTAATATCTAAGTTAATGAACTTTCAATAGTTATATATTTACAATTGCTGAGTGATGATGTAATAAGCATAAAGTAGTATTGCACTAAAAGCTTCCTGTAAACAAACTAGTGGGCGGGTACATACTCACTAAATATAACTATATAACATGCCAAAATTTTGTTACAATTTAGGCAATGAAAATTATCAACTTTTATATACCTTGCCAAATGTCACACCACAATTGGAGCATTCTGCTTGGACCTTTTGTCGAGTATCACATTCTGTACAAATCAGCTCTGTAACCGATTTTCTGTTGAAGTAGTGTGCTTCATTTTCGTCATGACAGTAGCGGCACATGTACAACTTGTTGCAGCATGGTGTCTAATAAATTATATACAATATAAGCTTTTTTTTATTAAAAAGGTTGAATTTATGAAGCAAGTCATTACTAAAAATGTATTAATAAGATAATGTTATCCAATATACCAGTTAATACAAAAAAGACATTTTACATATAATTAGTTTAAATAATGTTTAAACTAGAACAAGACATTTGTTAATCATTATTAGATTTGTGGCCTGTTATTGATGGCACTTCTAAAGCATATTTTAAGTTAGAAATACTGATACATAAATGACCTATAAATATTTGTTAACTGATTATCTCTTTTTATGTGCTTCCACCATATGAATTTCAATATTTAATAAGACAAAATAAAAAAAATATATATGTCCGATTTCACCAACATCACCTAAGTTTAAGGGATCCCCTAAGCATGGTTAGGGGGCTGTTAGGGGACAGTTTCTGTTTCACCGACAGTTAGGGGTCACCTAAATATTAAAAGGCCACCTAAATTTAGGTGCTCGAAATATGGGCTTAAAGAAGATCGTAAAACGAAATTTCATTTAGGGGCTAGTTTAGGGGACTTTTAAGGTAGGGATCCCATACGTAGGTGGTAGCTTATGGGTTGTTGGTGAAATCGGGCAATAATTGCTCAAACATGTCTTAATTTATTTATAATCCATTTGGCTTGTTGATAAGAACATCACATTTTTTTTGAAATTAAAAAGACAATTCTTTTAATTTCAAGTTCATTGACGTGTTTTTGTTCTACTAAATGTGCATATCACAACGAATTGCAAGGTTCCTGCGTAGAAAGGTTTAAATATAGACATGAGTGTTTTGAACCCGGTAGCGTTTTTTTGTCTTAATTATGTTTAATATCTATTTAAAAGGAGATATTCACAAATGCAACTTACCACAAATTTAGCTCTTCGTTTATAATGAGCACAACCAATACGTTTTTCACTAATTTGTTCAGTCACAATTGAAGGTTCACCATTAGTAGATTCTTTGGTATCTTCGGACATTTTAAGCAAATTTCATATAAAATACTACCTGAAATATGTACAGTGAATCGTTTCAAGGTTAATAAATGTAGCTGATGAATAGACTCTTTCAATTAATACATTTTATTGGATGGTAATCATACGATAATGAACAACAGTTTGCTAAACGTGACAAGTTGACAACTAAACATTTGACCATGGATGACAAATACAACATTTGACAGTTTGACGATGACGATTGACGGAATGGAATTGACGGTTTAGTTATGTGTTTAGGTTCAGCATTAAATTAAAAAAGTAATTTTAGTAAAAATTTCTTTGTTAAAATTATTCTTAGTTATTTACTTTTTCTTTTTTTCTTTACTTATTCTTAGTTATTTATTATTTAGTTTTAAGAAATATTCATCAGTTCATATTTGCATCCGCGTTATTAGCGTAACAGTCAATGTGAGTTTTGCGACCAAGGCAGAGATAATTCTAATTTACTTTGTCTATGATTAATTTTTTGGCATTAGAACATGCATTAGAATCATAGAGTATATTGATTAGAATTTAAACTAAAAAAAAATACAACAATGGAAATTTAAAATGTAATTTACACTAAAATAAAAATAAACAAACATAATAATTCAAAATTAAACAGTAACGATGAAGTTAATACTTTTACTTCTATTTGTACTTGCAATTCACAATATCGAAGGTTTATTACCTCCAAGATTTCAATGGAAAACTATTGATTTCGCATGGGAGGCTCGGGCTAGAGAAGCTGCAATAGCTTCAGGGGATTACATACCTAAAAATAATATGCCTACTGGAATTGCGAGATGGAAAGACAAGCTTTTTATAACTATTCCACGATGGAAAAAAGGTTTGGAAAAAAACTTTTGTAGACTTTAATTTCTCAAAAGAATGATTAAAATACTTAATACACTATTTTAGGAGTGCCTTCTTCTTTGAATTACATATATCTCAACGGTAGTCAATCTCAGCATCTCAGTCCATATCCTAGTTGGGGAGATGCGTTTGTATCTGATAAGGCGTGCTGTATAAAATCCAATAGCACTGTTGTATCTACTTTTAGAGTGCACGTGGACAAGTGTGATAGACTGTGGGTAGTTGATAATGGGGTGGCGGATATGACAAGTAAGATTTTTATACTTGTTTCTAGATGGAGTTTTAGGTAATAACTGAACGATTGAACCTTAACATCAGACATGTACAACCTATCTAAACATAGCTATATATTTATATTAAAAAAAAAACTTAAGCTTGCAACACTAACTGTAACTTGATGGTAACAGCGTTGCGTACGGACGTGTATGATTTTGAAAAGATTTTTTTCCATTGTTACGCAATTTCCTTTAAGTAAGTTTATAAACTACAAAGGGGAAGTGATATAATATTACTCCGGTTTTTTATTGTCTATTTTTGCTTACACTGAGTCTAACGTATTAGTCACCTACTCAATAATTCGATTCAAGACCAATATTTGATTTTACCCCAAGTGAAAATCGAACCCGCAAGATTACAAACATTAGGTACTCTATGGACGCTGGCAGACACACCCCGTTTTTTTATGCCATTATATATGCCTAGAGGCCAATTAACACGTGCATTCTCTATTCCCTTCACTCTCAAATACCGATGGGACGATACTTCGACACGATCGATAAGATCAGGCGTAAGACCGATAGCTTTACGTGCTCTCCGAGGCATGGGGGTGAAACACCGCCAATTTCCCAATTCCGAGTTGTTACTGGGACTTTCTTAACAAAAAGACCTGGTGACTAAACTTAGCCCGACCTGGGACTCGAACCCAAGACGCTAGCCACTACATAATTGAGATAGTCACTTATCATTACCTTTTTATTATTTACTAATAAAATTTTTATATAAAGACGAATTAAAACAAGTAACAGCACCAGCCATATTAGTGTTTGATCTGAACAAAGATACGTTGATACACCGGTATGTGATTGATGATGAAGTATTAAGGGACTCCTCTGTATTGACGAGTATTGTAAGTTTGCACTATTTTTAGTGTATCTATTGCCAACACGCTACAACATATTTTTTTACGTTGGAAAATGTACTTATTTATATATCCCAGCTGTAAAATGGGTGGTAAACTGGAGACTCACCGGTTAGAAAAGCCTGTACTACTCACTAAAACTCAACTGAACCTTCCCCGTGGCCATTGAGCTTATATGAATGTCAATTTTACTGTTTTATTAAAACTAAATTTTATTATGTAACAAATAGCTGATTCGACAGACATTGTTCTGTTAAAATTTCAATTATTGCGCGGTAACAATAAGTTTGAATTCCGTCACATTCAAAGAGATGGTGTAGCTTTTTGGTTAAAATAATATTATTTTTTGTTATGTGTATTGTAGAAAGTAAAATGAGTACTTTTAAAGTAAATTCTATTCAGTTGTTTAATTATATTTCAGGTGGTAGACATTGTCGGTAGAGATTGTGACGATTCATACGCATATATACCAGATATGGGTTCAAATGCGCTAATAGTATACAGTTTGAAACAAAACGACGCTTGGCGCGTTGAAAACCATTATTTTCATTTTGATCCGCATTCTGGTGTTTATAATGTGGGTGGAGTTAACTTTTACTGGAGTGATGGCATATCTTCGGCTGTTTTGACACCTTCGAAGAAAGCTGGGTTAGTTTATATCACGTATAGAAAAAGATTGTGATTATAAGGACGTCGCTTATTTTCCCTCTAACTGTTCTTGTTTTCAAACTATCGCGGTCTTCGCTCACACTCGCCATTGTAAGCCGCATAAAAATTTAAATATTTACTAAAACATTTTACTACTTCGTACTTTATTTTACGTATATATTATCTAATCGTTTTTCTAACATTAACACCTCCAGGTAAATTTCTAAGAAATTAATTAAATTTCTAAGAAATGTATTGTTAAGTGTAACGCCGGGCCGCGCCGCCGGCGTGATTTCATTCTTTATCTTCGCTAGTACCGTGTTACCCGCCGTGTAATAAATACATAATTCACCATTGCAACACCTCATGGAAAGAAGCTGCCAAAAATAACTAAAAATATGGAATATTTTTAAGCCTCAGAATACGGAACAAATTTCTGAGTTTTAAGCCAAAAAAATCTATTCACAGAATCATTCAAACAAAACATCCATTTTGGCCTTTTTTTAAAATTCAATAACTTAGTTTTACTATGGTGTATAAAAGGGGTTTTTATGTGATTCTTTAGTCTTTTATGTTTATTTTAAAAATATGTAGTAAAAATACATATAAGATTCATGCGAGAGTCAAACCAACGACCTGTGTTGTGAAATTATATTTTTGAAGCTCGAAAATATTACTGTCATTTTTATGTAATATTTTAACGTGAGATTGACTCCCCTTTTAAAGTCATATAAATACATAAATTAAAACATAAAAACGTAATTTTATTTATACGTATTGCTTTAATATTATTTTTATTGTATTTAAAGCTTTCGTGACTTATATTTCCATCCTACGTCGAGTACGAAACAGTTCCGTATGTCAACAAAACTCTTGCGTGATAAACATATGCCGAGGGAAAATATATTTTCTGGAGTCGAAGTAAGTTTAGATTAAATAATTAGGTTATTCAATTTGAATCCGTCCAGCTTTACAGCAATGCATTAGATTTATAATTATTACGAGTTGAAATATACTTACGCAGTAGGTATGTGTGCTAGGATAGAAGTTTGTTTGTTTGTTTAACTAACGTTTGCTCTCGGCTCTGTCCGAGTATTTTACTCATTGCTCCGCTTCTCAAGCTCGTAGCGAGCTTCTACAATAAAAATACAAAAATTACAAAAATAATTATTTACGTCTGATGGGTTACAGAGATTAGCGTATTTAAACACATAAACCACCCTCCAACTTTATATTTTCAACCGACTTCAAAAAGTAGGAGGTTCTCAATTCGACTGTATTTTTTGAAGTGAAACTTCTTTAGAATCGTTGATTTGAAACTCGATGCAACGGAAATGCGACAGTAAAAAGAGACAAACATATAAATATATAGGATTAAGCCGGCGATAGAATGAGATAGAATACATTGCGATGATGCCATGGTAACCGTTGTCATGGTAACCGTTGTTATTTGATAGAATACATTACACAGGAAGTGAAAAATAATAAAATTCATTACTGATTATTATGTAATGTTTATATTTATATCAAATAAAATGTAAAATAACTTTTAAACTTGGTAAAAATAATATAAAAAAATCCTTATGATTATCCTACTCCTGATACTCTATATTCATATCATTTTCTGAAGTTTCACTTCTACGATGTGTGAATTGCACATTTTTTTTTATGTTTGTTACCTCAGAACTTCGTCATTTATTAACCGATTTGGACATTTTTTGTTTTGTTTGAAAGGGTATACTTCCAGATTGGTCCCATTTAAATTTCAAAAAAAAAAACCACCCCTAAGGGTGGAAAAATAGCTAATGATGAATTTAACCTACTTCTAATTGTTATATTGACTTGAAACTTTGCAAGTGTTTCTATTTCCGTTGATAGTACATGGTTCGGTATTGTTGACCTGATCTGATGGTAAGGCCAGAAGGTGGATAGGTGGAACTCTTCAACGACTAATAGTAGATACTTTGAGTTTGGGCTTATTTTGTTTAATTTGACAAGCCTAATCTTACTTTGCTACTACTGTCTACACTAAAAAGGGAAAAATAAAAAGTTTTTAACAAAAAAATAAAAACCGACTTCAAACAAAAGCACTAAAAAGTAAAAAATAACTGATTTCATTTACTATACATACCTAATCAAATATTTTCGAAGTCGGTGTGCTTTGGCTAAGTAATTAAAGCCTACCTATTAAATACATACCTAATCAAATATTTTCGAAATCGGTGCCAGCCCATACAAAGCAAAGCTTATTTTTATGTTAAAAAGTTTTTATAGTATACTTCAGTAGTCGTATCTAGTAGAGTTGCTTCAGTAAAACTTCTAAATTTTTAAAAAAAGTTGGAATTTCGGTGAAAAAGTATTTTCCTGCTCTTTTTTCGGACAGCTTGTTTTCTACATTGTTTTGATTTCTTCCATTGACGTGTAAAAAATGAAAAAAATATCATATAAATTAAATATAATATAATTATTGCAATCAAATACTCGTAGATTTTTTACGTTTGCTTTTGTTTGTTTATTTACACTTTGTAGGTTTTGGGAGACAGGGGACCAATGTCCCAGGCTACAGCGTGCGATTTCGATGCAAATAATAACGTCTTGTTCTATACACAGGCACAGTATCTTAATATTTATACTCTCGTTTTTTTTTTAATTTAGATTGTACCTAACGTGTATAAATTGCATGTATGTATGTAAGTAAATAATATTTGTGATTACATACGTCGCCATTTTGTAAAATTTTCTTAGTAAAAGCGCCATTTTTAGTTGTGTAATAATGCTTGTATGAGAATAAAATATTAGTTTTAATTAATAAAATAAATAATATGTAGCAGTCTTAAACTTTAGACGGTGTGTGAGACATTTCGTCGGTTTTCCATATTTTTTTAATATTTTTACATTAACAAATGAATAGTTCTTGTAGCTTATTTAATTATTATACAAAGTAATATATATGTGAAAAACATATAATATATGAAATTTTATGAATAATTTTAATAGCTAAGCAAAAATGGCGTCAGTTGTTGGAACTTGGACAGACCACTATCGCACGAAAATGTTCCATTGATTATAAGTGATTGTACAATGCTGGAATTTCCGAACGATATAAAGGTTAGAATCAAACTGAGTGTATTATTATAATATTAATTTGATTGTCCTGTACCGTGTGTTTGTTGGTGTATCGGTATGTTCTTCTTTTAGCAGCATCATAATAATGTCCTGGTCTCACTGAGGTTGCCAAAGTTTTCTTTTCGAACGAACTCTTTCCTTTTTTTTTTTTAATGGCTTCCTTCGTTTTCAATAAAATGATATGTTTCATGAAAAGAAAATATATTTGTAAGTTAGCAGTGTGTGTGTGTGTGTGTGTGTGTAAGTGTATGTGTGCGCGCGTTTGTTACTCCTTCAGGTGTAATATAATGTAAATGTTTCTTATTGCTTCACGAACTAGTACTATAACTCGCGTCACCAAAAAAGAACGCTGGCTGTCAAGCTGCGCAGAAGCGATTTATCGGTCAAATTGGTGGTAAGAATTGGGGCGCGAGGCGGCGCGGGGCGGCGGGCGCGCTATTGGTTAGTCAGTTCGAAATACCATCGCGCACACAAAAGTTTTTAATTACGAAATGGTTTTATATATAGAAAAAAGAAAAAATGTTTTTGACGTATATTGTTTTACAAAGTGAGAGTCTAATAATAATGCAGTTAATAATTAAAAAGAATGTATTAAACGTATTAATTTATTTTTTTGTAAGTAGATTAAACATTCTGCACTGAATCAAACATATTTAGTAATGAATAGAATTCTATTTAATGATATTCTATCTAATATATTTTTCAGTGTCCCTACCAATAACTAATATATGAAGCCGCGAGCGAAATGCTATGAAAAATAAAATAATAGGCTTAGTACTTTTGTGTGCGAGTATACCCATGCGCAAACATACCCTCTCCACTTTCTTCCAGCGTTCTTTTTAGATGTCGCGAGTTATACATACTGAAATGGCTGGACAGATTTGGATGAAGTTTAGTATACAGATAGATTATATATAATCTGGACTAACACGTGGGCTAATTTAAGGCACCTAGGGACACATTATTATTTATATAAATAATTACGCCATTATTCATTTTCAAGGTGGACCAAGAAGGTAATCTATGGATATTGAGTAATAGACAATCTCGCTTTTTATACGAGTCTATGGATTTCGATCAAATTAATTTTAGAATATTAACGGCTCCAGTCGACACAGTGATACAAGGCACGCCCTGCGAAAAGTTATCTACTATGAAGAAAGCTTTCAGCTTTATAAAAAGACCCAAATCTAGTAGTAAGTGAAAAAAAAATACTGTCTATGGTCTAAAATATGAAAGACATGTTTGTCAAATCAACATATTGGGCGACTTCAACTAATAAATCGAAACATTACAATTGTAAATCAAATAAAATATTGTAAAAAAGTACATATAAATATCACGTACCCGTGTTCCTTTTCATTTCTTTTTAAGAAGGTAGGTATTCTTTTTATCGAAGTAGTTTTTTTTTCAAATAGGTAGGTAAATAGTTTTTACATAAACTGTAGTGGGTTTGGTATTAATAAGCTATCCCCGATATAGATTATTGATTCTGTTCTTTACCTCCACGGGTTATATGTTGTAAAGCGATGATCATAAGCTAGACGTTGAGGTCAAATTGATAAACATACTAATATTAGCACGGACTAGAGCTAAAGAGGTTTAATTGTAATATAATAATTGATTTTATTATCAAAATATATATTTACTTTGTAATAACTTTAAAATATATAATATAATTATTACACCATTAGGGTGGAGCTTTTATCTATAATTTTATATAAAACAATCTTTGAGATATATTTGAACAAATCGGAAACTGCGCAAATACCTGCGCAAAAACTGAATGAGCAATTCTTGCCGACGAGTACATATATACATTTATTTCGTGTATCTCGGAAACGGCTCTAACGATTTGGATTAAATTTTATATTTATATAAAGTTTTGCTTTATATAGTAGTTTACTTAACAAAAATTTTACAAAAAAAACGCCGAGGTAGGTACTACACACTCAAGTTGAGTACCTACACCTACTACCTATCTTACCCTTTTTGATGCCGATCAATAAAAAGCACAGTAAATAATTTAAATTTAATTAAAATATACAACATTGTAGCTAATAGCTATGTAATTTAAATAAGTCTATGTGTTTGGATATAACTCAAGTGGCGCCATTTTCGTCTCAATTCGTTCGCAATCAGTCTTTTCTAAGGGAACGTGTCGAGAACCAAGTTAACAAATTTTAACTAGCTATTTGTCGCGTTTTTGTTTAGTTTTCTTATTGTATTTAGATATTATATAATTATAAGGATATTTTCAGAAGTTTTTTTTTTATAAAATTGACAATACTTAATTGTATTAGAATGTTTTAGCCATTACCCACCTTATTTTTCAAATGAAAAAAACTCAGTCATATAGTCTCAATAAAAAAAAAAATAAGCAAATTGAACCAAAACTCATGTATAACTATCAAAAGAAACACTTTCGAAAAAATAAACAATACGTAATAATAATATATAATTAATTTATTATATACATTTTTTTTAAATAATGAGTATATTTTGTATACAACTTGGTCTAACTTTGCCATCGTATTTTTTCTAACATTAAAACTGTAATCAGATATCAAAATAAATACAATTATTGTTAAATTCGGTAAACAAAAAATATATAAAAAGCGACCTTTTTAAGTCATATAGAAACACCAGAGATAATTGAAATTTTACCACCAGAGATAATTAATTATATATAATATAGTCTAAATAAATTTGTTGTATTTTATTCATTTCATGATTTTTTTTCTAATTGTTTATTCTTTATCAATTTCTCCATTAGCCATAACGTTTACGTTAGAAATTTTACTACTCAAGTCTCAAATAAATTGCGTGTTTACATACGATAAGTATTAAAATTTATATTTTTAATAATACTGTGTACAATGTACATATAGAAATAATTAAACAATGAAAAATTCAACTTTTATATGTAACCCATATAATATTATCGTCACATTTTACAACCCTTTTCCCTAAAAGTTTTGTTTGATCAAAATCGACTTAGTCGTTTCTAAAATAATTACCTAATAAGAAATATATAAAAAAATATGCATATAGATGCTGTTTGATATAAAGCATCGATCAAAAAAGTACTAGATACACAATCCCATGCAAAAGTTCTCTTAAAACTGTCACCAATTGTGTTTGGGTAATTATTCTAGTTGAAATAAATATACAACAATGTAAATTGAACTTTAAATGCAATGCTTAAAGTTGTTTTCTCAAAAAAATATATTTAAAAGCGCGCTTAAATGTTCAAATGAGCGCTCGTTCGGTGAGGACATTTTTTGTCGCTGATAGTGTATTGTGTGATTGGGAATATTATTATATACATAGTAAACATAGTACGATGAAAATAAGTAAGACGTCACAAGTTCTCATTTGGTTTTAGTCAGGACGTATTTATTGTTGTTATTAAAAAATGAAAAAAAAATAATTAAATCCAATAAAATACAAAGAAAAATGATTAAAGCCTATCACAATTTTCATATAAATAATTAAATATTATATACATTTATTATGTAATAGAAAAAGTTTATATCAATACAACCAGCTTTCTCTAGTATTTCACGTTCGAATAAACAGCAAGAGATTTTTTTTAAAGTATCGAGTACATAAACATTCGATAAGAATTACATTTTTTTTTACAAATACTAGCAAAAAAGATTACACAGACTTTATTTAAAGTTTAGATGACTTCACTCTAAGAGATGGAAAATTTCTTTGAAAATATTATCATCCCATGAACCCTTCGTTAATTAAAGAAGGACAAAAATTGTTTCACAAACAAGATACCTCCTAACATAAACAAGAATTAAGTACGTCCTCATTTTTTGTAATCGGTAAAAAATACAAAAAAAGTACAATTTCCATCACGTTATTTTATATGTACTATATATCATACTATCTATACTAATATTATAAAGAGATAAGAGTTTGTTTGTTCCTTTGTTTGTTTGAGGAATTTCAGGAACTACTAATCCGATTTGAGAAAATCTTTTTGCATTAGATTGCCCGTTTGTTGAGGAAGGCTGTAGGCTATATATCATCATGCTACTACACAAGGGAGCGGAGCAGTAATTTTAAATGCCAACAAATCAGGCAGACTTTGATACATTATTGTAAAACTGATGTTTATAATCAAACAAATTTAAGGAGGGTGAAACCGCGGGGCACAACTAGTGCATCATATTATCAGTTCACCGAATCCCTTATGTAAGCAATGTCCATGGGGAGCCCTATTCTTATTTTAATCGAATTAAATACATAAGTTATAAAAAAAAACAATAAAACACGATTCGTATGTAAAAACGCATATTTCCATACATCCAAAAGTTTTATTATAAATTAAGCGAGAAATATAAGGAGTAGATATTTACAATTATTGCTCGAATCTTCTATCATAGGCCATAGAGATGAAATCGATTTGAGAACAAAAAAAAAGCAGTCATGAGGACTGCCGACAGAAGTGAAAACTTAAAACTATAAACAAACAGTTATTTTTGGATATTAATTGTTTGATCTTAAATTAGCAGTTGTAAATTAAAACTGTTTACATTTATCTGGTTTTGACATCTATCCGCACTGAGTGTTAGCGTTAACACGTCACGTGACCATGTCGATGACGACTTACATGAATTTACTCCCCATCCAAACCTGCCTATAGAAGTTTTCACTTCAATAAAACTTACGCCATTTGTATAATAATAATAATATACAATTTAATAGCTATCACGCTATATTTTTTCATCACGTTTAACATCAGTAGTTTGGTTAATTTAACATATTTCATTTTTATAATTTATTCTAATAAAATTCAGTCATCCAAAAAAACCGAATTGAGCTCAAATATATATTTTTTAAGGAGATTGCAAGAGATTTATACAGTGCGATAAGAGATTTACATTTTACAGGAAGTAATAGTTATATTTAATTATAAAAAGCTTTGCAATTCAGTTAATTTGGATGAAAAATAAAATTAACTAAACAAAATGACCAAACTACTTGATTATTTCTAGATCATTCTCTAACTTACGGATTTATCTTTGATAAATCTAATAAGAGCTGACAACTGTAATACATATAATAAATTTTATAAAATATACAAAAAAACTACATAGCATACAAAAAGTATGATAAAAAACATTGAAAGACATTAAATGTTAACTATATCCATGTTTTTTTATATTACAGTTGGCAGCACTGACTTTAATTACACAAACTGTCACTTTAATCGATAATAATTTAATCGGTAATTTAATTAATAATAGCGATAATCACTCGATTGTTCCACATTTCACTCACTCGTAATTCGTAGCTGATTCTAAACTCGTCTAAGCAATAACCGTGCGTAACGAAATGTACCTATTAATTACTAAAAGAAAACATATATACATTCGTTGTTACGTTTGACCCAATTGGCTATTGATTTTGATATATTCTAATGTTGGGTCAAACGTTGGTTCCAATGTATGTATGTAACGTGAATCATGACGTAGAAACCTTAGAATATAAAGTCCATAGAACAATTAACAGCATTATCTGGCCTCGTTTTCAGGTGCTTTATGTTCTGGCGATTTAGATTCGGCGCGTTTTCGTAAAGGCTCGTTGTATTCCCATCCCTCTTCGCCTTTCGGGCTGAATAGCTGTAAATGAAAATGTATCAATGTATCGTTTTGATTTGTAACAAAAATGCACCGTAGTACCGTAATAAGAGTGGCTAACGATAAGTGCATTTGGAAGTGTTGTCTCCCTTAATTTTATCTAGTTTAACAATTTTAAAATTGTATGTTATTAGGTGACAAAATAAAAGCGTCGTCATGATATGATACGACATGATAGTATCACATCACCTATTTTAATCATCACCTATTTAACCTTCCATCGAATCACATCACGTCACGTTATGATGTGTTACGTCATTTCCCTCGCATCCACCCTCTTGTATCTAACATCAGCGCTATCAAATGGCGGGTAAATTAACCGAAAAGCGGGTGTTTTTAGACGATTTTTGATGGCGGATAATTTTGACGGGTATTTCCATTGAGCGGGGTCAAAGCAGATATTTTAGTATAGCTGATTAATTTGATATTTTAAATATTTTTAATGTTTGATTTAATAATTTAAAGCTGTTTAATTGAGAACTGATTACAACGACTTCTTCTTACATTAGTACTATTGTTAATCTATATAAAACATAAATCAATTATTTTAAAAAAACTATTTTCGGGTATTCTGCTTATGGTTGGCGTCGGCAGGATACACCGGTTATTTTACGGTTTATTGGTCGGATAAATCAACGATTGTTATCTGGCTGCCTTGTCTAATATCTCGCCGACGTCAAGTCATGACATTGACGCGTCACGTAATGACACTGACGCATCACGTAATGAAATTGACGCCGCACGTGACTGACCTGCGTGAGCCACTTCTCGCCGGTGTCCAGCCGCCTCTTGGCGGCGTCGCGCTGCGCCTGCTCGAGGCGGCGCTTGGCGGCGGTGGCGGCGTCGGTGTCGGCGGCGCGCAGCGCGGCGGTCACGTGGCGCCACACGCGGCGTGACTCGCCGCCCGCCTGCCGCGACACCGGCGCCACGCGCTTGCGCCGCGGCCTCATGTGCGTCACGTCGAACAGGACTTCGGTGCGCTGTCACATAAGTCATGCTTAATGTCACTTCTTTAATATATTTTTTTAGTTATTAAGTGTTTTTTTTTTATTATTGACGCGACATCGTTTGCGACGTGATGTTTCATGTGCGACACGTTGAAGAGTGAGTCTTTCTGTGCACTGCGATATAAGTGCTGTTAAATGTCACGTCTTTAATTATTTTTTTCTCTTATTTTTTACTGTACGCGATAAACTCAAAAACTACCAAACAGATTTTCATACGGTTTTCACCAATAGACGGAATGATTCATGAGGAAGGTTTAGGTGTATAATTCATTAGTTTTGTGTAAATTGGCTGATTGATTGTTGAAGAGGTCGGAAAAATTCATGCCGACTGGGAGCTTTATTGGCGCACGCCGCGTAAACCAATAGAGTTATATTACATTGTTTTGATGTATTTGTTACGACGATTCGATAGAACAAGTGATTGTGTTTTTGGCATTAGAAAAGTAATTATTTCTTTCAAATTTGCAAGTGTAATAAAATGTTGAATTGAATTTTAGTAAAATGTATAACAAAAAGTAACCAACAGACGCACCCCAGCGAAGGGGTAAGTTGATAATAATTAAACATAAAAAGCTATATCTTACCCCCGTCTCCGTCCATCTTCCCTCCATCCTAGTGTTCCATTCCCCTTGAGCACTGTAATACGGCTTTTTATCTGCTCCGGCAAATATTTCGCAAGTAACGCGATGTTTCTTGCCGCCATAGAAAGGTTTCGTTAGAAACTCCACATTAGCCTTATGTCCCGTCTGTACGCATTCTATGACAACTGAACCGCCGAGTTCTATCCATGGCACTGTCAATATTGATCTGGAATTGTACATAATACTTTCTTAGATTTACGCGAACATTTGACATTTTAAATAAAACTATCTTTTCGGATGACCATGATTGCTATAAACTATAAAGCATTCGAAACGGAAACCAAGAATCAAAATAAATCCGCGAAAACATCCGAAAAGATAGTTTTATTTAAACTCAAAATATTGGTTAAGTGCGAGTCGCATTTGCGTGAAGAAAAAAAAAACATATTTTATATGAGAAATTTTGTCCCGAATTTCGAATTTGAATATAAGCTGTAAAATAAACGCAACATCTTAAAAAGAGGTTTCATTTAGACCTGTTTTCTTTAAATTTGAAAATAATTTATCTATATATACCTATAGCACATATTGTAAATGCTCTACGTGACACATTTATGCCTGTTTAAAGAAACATAGCGAGGAAAACATTATTTGATAGCAAATATGTAAAATAATTTATTTTCCTACAATAAGAATTATGTATATGTGTACTCTAGAGTCTAGAGGATATAATTGAAAATTAATGTTAATAATAACTTCGTACGTATTAAAGTTTGTAACACTAGTGTATTTAAACAAATTAAAAACCTTACACTCTCAAATGTAAACAGCGCAACGCTACTCATAATTATTAACTATGCATAAAATATTTCAAAATTTTACTGTAGTAGACGATTCTTAAACGATTGCTCGTCTAGAGTCTACGTCGTTTAGTTCGCTAAATTATTGACATAATTATTGCATGGAAAAGACTATTAACTAAATTATAAAGAGAAAAGTTTGTGAGGTTGTAGGGGGTAATCTCTGCATCTACTGAACCGATTTAGATGAAATTCGGTAAGAAGATAGTTTGAGGCCCTCGGAAGGACTTTTTATCACGGATATCATCCCTTAAGGGGGTAAAAATAAATATGAAAGTTAGTATTGGGAAGCAAGTACTAAGCTAGTACAATATAAACGAGTCTTATGACCACTATCATCTGACAGCTAATTGGTTTACTGGCAGAACTGAAGGTCCTGGGATCAAGTCCTAAGTCGAGCCAAGTATATTTATTGAGTTTTTCTGTTATAAAATTGATGGTGTAATATCCCCGTGCCGCGGAGAGCACGTAAACTACGTTTAATCTCTCACCGCGAGTGTCGAAGTATCGTCCTACCAGAGTATGAGGGTTAAAGAAATAAAGAGAGCATAAGAAGAGTGCACTTGTCTGTACGAAAGAGTGCTTTATAACATTTATGCAGAAGATTGTCTATCAATAATAATAATTAATTTCAAAAAATGTAACCAACCTGCCATATCCGTTTGGGAAAGTCAACGTGTATTCTTCTCCGAGATCTAACAACGTGACCGTTCCTTTGCCAATGTTGTGGACACCTATGGAAAGACCTAGAAACTTGCTTTTCGTCCACACGTAGGCTTCGAATTGGATACGTTTGTTCACGTGTTCGGCGTAGAAGGCCGAGATGGGAGGATGATGGGACACTTGCTCCGCTACGAAGGAGAGCTGGTCTGGTGAGCACCACGGTACTGGCCCATCGCCTACTTCTTGCTGGAGTAACAAAATATATGTTCAGTTCTAATATCCTTTTATTTAGCATCTTTTCATATATTAAATAAAAATTACATTCGACTGTATATTAAAAAAAATGTTTTATACCTTATAATAATTGTGTGATGCTGAAAATATTTCATCGCTATCCATATATATATATGACACATTTACTACGAGTATAACCCAAATAAGCATGTACGATACACGAAGACTTAGAGGTGAGACTCCTTACTAAATGTGTTCGACAGTAATTTCTTGTAACAGCATCACTATTGTAAGACGTCAAAAGAGTTATCACAGCGATATTCGTCTATTAAAAAAATAAACCCAACTAAAACTCACCTTAGGATTATTCTCCGGGGATTCCCCCTCTATATCCCAGTGGCATCTGAATATCTCGCCCAGTATCGGGTTGTATGGTTTCTTTGCCACTTGTGACTTGCGTCCCGCGTGGTAGGAACTGAGGTACCATCGTACTACTTGCACCATTCTGTCGCGGGGGCTTTGCATGTCTACTATCCTGTACAAAAAAATAATATATTCAACATTAAATTATTACAATGTTTTTCTAAACGTCATTTTTTTATTATTATTGCTAGAGGACTCAGTCATGTACAGGAAAAATATGTACTTACATAATATTTTTTTGAGAACAGTTCATTTTATATAGATATGTAAATAATGACCGAGTACTAAATGATTATAATCGATCACTCGGCGAATACTACTTTTAGTAATCTTACTAATATTATAAATGTGAAAGTTTAGATGGATGTTTGGATGCTTCTTACTCAATCACGTCAGAAAGGCTGAACGGATTTGGATGAAAGGCATAGGCATAGCACATAGGCTACTTTTATTCCGGAAAAATGTACGGCTCCGTGGGACCGATTTGTTGATGGTTCTAGAGGCGAACCGGGGCGAAGCGAGGGTGAGCCGCTAGTGATTTTTAAAAGTTTCTACTTATTTACAATATATAATTTATTCCAAAAAAATCAACAAAGAATTTTAACTCAGAAATGCGCATTCTGGCGTCCCAAATGATTCCATTCAAATAATCGACTTTTGAGTATTACGTCCAGTTAATTGGCTAGAGTTGTTCGATAAAAGGCGAGCAAAAGTAAGATAGATTTCCAGTAAATTTAACTTCAAATTTTTCGAGTAAATTTAAATTTAATTGGAATATTTAAAATCATGAACCGTTTTTGATAAACTATTTAGTGAATAGTTCATATTATTTTTAATCTCTTAATTTTCATCTCCGCATACCTACATTTCAAGAAACCAATATTTTAAAACCGTTAACTTCCTAATTTTAAAGTAATGTAATATATAAAATTCTCGTGTTACACTGTTTGTAACAAAACTCCTCCGAAACGGCTTGACCGATTCTTATGAAATTTTGTGTGTATATTCAGAAGGTCTGAGAATAAGACGTAAACTATTTTTCATACCCCAAAGTGATAAATAAGAGTGATCCACCCCAAAAATTTTATTTTTTATTCTTTGGACAATTTTTCATTGTCATTAAAAATACACACAAACCTAAATGTCCTCTAGGGACGAATCCGAGCGGAGCGAGGGTGAGTCGCTAGTACATTTATAAAAAGTGAATGTTTTTAATATGAGTATGTAACACAAATAAAGACTTACTTAACAAATTGGTCGGGATGGGCGAAGGAGTCCGCGTACATCTCAAGAAGTGATCGCCTTTCCAAGATGAACGTAGGGAGCACTACCTGCGCAGTGAAAAGGAAAATTTAATCAATATATTCATAAATTAAAAGATAATGCTTAAATAATAAATTAAAAAGTAAACATTTACAAAATTCGCATCACATTTTGTACGAATGGTCTATAAACATTTAATACATTATAATGACATAACCACAGAAAATATACTACACTGAGTAGTATAGATAGATACTCTTACTTCATTCGATATTAAAAAGAAATATAATATTGTAAACGATATAGTAAACGAATATTATTTTAAAAGAGCAAGCTCTTGAGTTTCGCACCGGCTCTTCTCAGCAGAACTGCCTTCCGAGCCGGTGGTAGATTCCTCACGGACTTACATATACTGACATTTTATTTAAATTTTGAAAATGTAAAAAGTGATTCATCAAATGTAATGAGTGAATTCAAAAGTTGCTTGTAAAAATCTATTTGAATAAAGTATATTTTGATTTGATACTAAAAATGTTACTATTGCGCGTAAGAAGGACTAGAAGACGCTGATAACAGCTATCAGTTGTCCTAAGGCGCTACCGAGGACATAACTATTTCATTTTAATGTGTGTACTAAAATGTGTATTATATACAAAAGCATAAAAAATAAAAATAAAACGAGTGATCATATATGAACTCCAAAAAGGAAAGCAACAATCTATGCAGTATAATATTAATATCTACGATCAGACATCAGCAATATTATGAAAAAGTTGGGAGTTTCATTATTTTTAAATCAGCTTTCATGCTCGTTCGTTCGTATAGAGACAAAAATTATAAATTTCTATAAAAAAACAAACCAATTTGGATAAGCACTGAGTAAAAAAACAACACAAAATGACTCTTTACTTTAAATAAAAGTAGCTAGAATGTCACAACTAACCTTAGTGAGATCCATTCCGATTTTGACTTGTGATAGGAGATGCGTGACCACGGAGCCATGGTTCTCCATGGACCCGAGGTCGCTGTCCGAATCGTCTTCGTATAATGCTGAAAACATGTTTCATTTTATTCTTTTTTTTATTAATAAATAGTATAAATAAAGTAAGAAAAACGATGTTTTTTTTCTGAACATGATATTTTTTTTGGTTTTAATGCCCAAAGAGTTATAGTAGTTTGGAAGAAGAAGAGAGATAGTAGTTATATTTACGCGATTATTTACTATTTTAAATTAAACTATCTTTTCGGTTTTTATTTCCTCGTCACCATGATTGCTGTATAGAATTTTATTAGAAATTTCGGAAACCAAAAATCAAAATAAAACCGCGAAAAAATCCACAAAAGACCGTTTTATTTAAAATAGGCTTAGACATACGGTTAACGGATCGATAAACAGATACGTGTTTCAATCAAATCAGACAATATTAAAAGATAGGCAGAGTATTGTCCACTTACTTCACTTAAAACAGTAAAAAAAAACATCATTAAATATAGTGACTCACGCGCATCTATAGAAGGAGCGTTCGTCACGTGACGGAAACAAAGCGATTCCTGTGACCGGGTAATAGCTCTCCGGCGACGTATTACATCATGCCTTTATTTAAATTGCTCCTTTGAGTTTTCTAAATAACACGTCAGAAGTTCTATGGCACACGACATATTACTAAAGATACTGCTTTCGACAAAACATTTACATAATTTAAAGAAAGTACTTCATTATAAATTAGTATTTAATGCTTCATGCGTTCTGTTTATTCACTGCGAAGATAATTGTTACGCTTTGAGTTTTAGCATTATTTTTCACTTATTAAATACAAGGTGTAACTTTGTAAAGCGATAACTGTGATGCTTTACATTTGACTACTTTGCAAACGTTCGACTTTCATTTTCGACTTTAATTCCTATACTTGTAATTGTGGCTGAAAACTCCATATTCCCTATTTCTATGGATACGTTTTCCACAATTTATAATTATTATCCTTTTATGTATAAGGATAATAATTATGAAATTGTTGATGAAATTATATTGCATACTTGTAAAGTTATTTTATGCTGATTTAAGTATCAATTTTGTTTAAAATAAACACATCTATACATATAATAAAATTCTAACTAAGCTGAATCTGTACATTAAATGTTTTTTGGAAAATCTTATTAAAATAGACTTTATTTTCGATACAGAGGCCGAATCCATAGATTTTAGAATATTTGTCTGTCTGTCTGTTACGGCATCACAGAAAAACCACTGGTGGGATTTTGATGAAATTTGGTATGGTGATAGCTGATAATCCGGGAAAATATCTCATTTCTGAGAAAAAATACAAAAACTGCAATGTTAGAGTATACTTATATGTAAAACTTAAGAATTAGGTTTTTGGTCATCTAAACGCGGGCGGAGCCGCGGGCAATGCTCGGTATTAATATAAATAACGAATGCACGAATAAACAGTATTCGTGAAAAATATGTACATATTATGTATATACCAGATATACCTATTACTAATAATATTGGGAAACAAATACATGTACAGGGTTTTAAGCGAATTAATTATATAGTCTTATCGCGTGCGTAAGCTATTAAAAAATCAATTAATCTATGTTTTTAATACTGTTTGGCGTGTGGCATTGGATTTAGTTTACTCTCTCTATACTACTTAAATAGCATTTAAGTAGATTCTATTCCCCGGTAAGGTAATTTTTTATTGGGCCCTAATTGAATATTATTTCAAAGAGAAAAGTTATATATAGCATTCGTTTTATTACAAAAATGAATGGAAAATGCGTTATTACAGTTCTGAATTTCATTTTATCAATATCTCAACAAATATTTAAAACAAATAGCCAAAATGTATATCGTTGTCGTCTGTTGCCGTTCATTTTAAATTTCCTTTTTTAAACAAGTTAGGTATTGGACAGACGGGGTTCGTAAATAAAATGATTCAACTTTCACATGTATAAAGTTTATTCTGGCGTCACGATCCGTCCGACCTGTCTCGTGTATGTCAAGAAGAGAATCCGTAATAGGCTAAATGTGTCGCTTTTGAGAAATATGAAAATTTGAATTTTTAGATAGCATGACATATTATGCTACTATTTAAACACTATTATAATATACTAGCATTGCCCGCGGCTCCGCCCGCGTTCAGATGACTAAAAACCAAATTTTTAGGTTTTACATATTAGTATACTCTTACATAGCAGTTTTTGTATTTTTTCTCAGAAATGAGATATTTTTCCGCGGTAAAAAGTATCCTGTATGTTGACCCCGATAACCACCTATTACCATACCAAATTTCATTGAAATCCCTCCAGTAGTTTTTCTGTGATGCGTTAACAGACAAACAGACAGACAGACAAAAAATCTAAAAACTATAGATTCGGCCTCTGTATCGATAATAATGTTTATTTCAATAAGATTTTCCAAAAAATATCTCATTTACAGATTCGGCTTAATTACAATTTTATTATATGTATAGACTATGTTTTGCTCGCGGCTCCGTTCGCGTGGTAGGCATATCTACAACAAATATGTAGCCTGCTAAACTATATAGGTACATATTTTTGCAATATTTATATATCTTCATTCCTATTATCACAATAAGTAGTTGACAACACAAGAGCGTGTCCATTCTATACTAAATATAAACCTGAAGAGATTTTTTGTTGTTAGATATCAAAAAATCTTTTTGTATTTTATAACATACCAGTTTGAATGTTTTAGAACGCATATAAAATAGAGGCCCAAAAAAATTTTTTTTTGCGCGATGAACCTCACAGGCATCCATAGGATAAGCTACCAGTTTCATCACAATCAGATCAATGGTATAGAAATGTATAGAGGACAAACATACGAACATTCATTTTTATTTATATAGATAATAAAGTATAATAATAGAGTAAAGTAAAATAATAAATTATTATTGGCGTGACATATAGTCACGCTACGAACTTTAGATGTGGAGCTGAAAATATATGTTCCTATACATAAATAAAATACACGAGCGAAGCCGTGGAAAACAGCTAATTAAACTATAAAGTGACTATTGAATCAGAACAATACACAACTCAAACGATTGTCCTGAAAAATTAAAATGTTGTTTTCCAAATACCACAATAACGTACATATATGAACATCTTCAATAGTTGTATTGTAGCTACATCATCACAATTTATAGCAACTCGTGAGAAATTCACGTAGAGCTTTTATCTTGCTTGGGCAAAATGCATGCTTTTATGCTACTCGTAAACATGTAATGAAGTCTGTTTACTATTCAGTCCATTTCATGTTCATACACGACCGTAGCGATAGAATAAAGTTATATGGACCAATTTGACTTTGCCGGAATGCATGTGTTATGTACTGGTGGGTGCAGATGTTAGACTTAAGAGGAAAATCTTGGGTAGGTCAATAGGGAATATGCGTATTTTTTTAATATATCATACAAAAGCTAACATCGTTATATAATTGTAAAAAAATTTTCCAGCTCCAAAAAACTAAAATTTAGTATAATTTTTTTAAGTGTACCGATACGGATACTTGAAACGCCTGCCATTCTCGCGCTTGGCGTGAGGTCAAAGTATCATACATTGAAAAATGACGACTTTAGTTTGTAGCGACAAAATCGCTAATCGCTCTGTTATTATAATACTCTGACGTCATTTGTAGCGACAAAATCGTTAATCGCTCTGTTATTATAATACTCTAACGTCATTTGTAGCGACAAAATCGCTAATCGCTCTGTTATTATAATACTCTGACGTCATATTTGGTCTGACCAATGGCGTGCGTTTCAACCACTTTAAATTTCCCACCTCTATTTGCAATCTTTAATACATATTTTCTTAATGCAAAAGAAATTACATTAAAAATATTGATAAAGGCTTAATTCAAAAGCAATAAAGATTATATATAAAAAATATTTCATCTTTAATTAAATCACACACATATTCCCTATTATTTGCATACATACTAAAGTATTTATAAGACTTGGTTTAAGGAATTAAAAGGGTAACGACCGCGGTCGATGTAGCGTCATTTATGTCATATGTTATTGAATTCACTTGTTGTGAATCACATTTAAAATTCAAAACGCGATGTTGCCGTAATTTAATATTTTGTGTTACTTATAACAAAAAATATTTTTCTTTTATTTCTGAAATGGGATATTTAAACTCGCTTCACTCAGCTTTCTAAATGAGCGCGTTAAATGCATTAAATTCTTATTTTAAGATAATTATAGTGATTCTGTTATAAGAAAATAAAGTAACTTAAACACTGCTCCGAAGTTAGTCCTATCAGTTAAATGCAATTATGAGATTACTTAGGACATTTATAATTAACTAGCGGCTCACCCTCGCTTCGCTCGGGTTCGCCTCTAGAAAAACAAAATTGGATCTATTCCACGAGAACCGTATATTTTTTCGGTTTATTCTGATGTATGAGCATTATTATTGTAGTTTCATTAAAAATCATTCATGGTTTTTGCGTGAAAGGGTAACAAACATCCATGCGTCTATACATTTAGACACACATACATACATCCTCACAAATCGCATTTATAATATAATTAGTAGGATTAGGTTGAGGGTATAGCTACATATATTATATTAAATAAACACATTGACATGTCAGTAGACGTAACTCTCAGAGAAGGGTAATATACTAAACCATTAAAAACATTAAATATAGATTTATTACAGAAAACTTTAAAAAGTTTTCTTAGCAAAGTAGTAAAAGTGTCGGAACATTAGGACCTCTTAAATCAATGGAAAAAAACATATTACCACCTTGTTATATACCATAAAAATAAAATTATTGACCTTGAAAGTTATCAACAAATGGATAAACTTTATCTTACCGTCATAATCAATTTCTCCATCCCTAGTCCGAGGCAGGTCGACTGCGGCGGGCGGCGCCGTCTCTTGCTCGGTCGCGCCCTCCGCCCCGCACGTGCGGCTCGCACTGTAACAAAATCATTTCTGATTTTACCTATATTCAACACTTAATATGAAATTTTATCATATATGTTCGCTATAATTCTTTAATAGTACAACAATTTAACAGGACTGGTGCGATATCAGGCGAAGGATATACGTGCTGTACGAGGGACGGGTTTGAAACACCGCCGACTTCCCAACTCTGGGTTGTTACTAAGAATGACTATACGTGGCTCGATTCGGGACTCGAACCCAGACTTTCGGATCTGCACCTTTACATCCTAACCACAAAACCAACAAGGCAGTTTAAGATTATATGCATTATTCTCAGAAACAATCAGTCCGGTCATCAACATTCAATTCATAGCGTGTGACGATAGTAAGTCCAATGCCTACAGTCCATATAAAAATTGCGTCTTAGACAAGTTATATTACAGCCAATATAAAGTGGCAATTTTTTGTACATGTAGAAAATATTCGAAATAATTTTAATTGGCAGAGTTGATCCATACACGAGTACTTGAAGACAGTGAAACTCTTGATTAGATAGATGTTTATGTAATAAGAAATCTGTATAATATATTAAAACAAAAGGTCAATTTATTATTTTTATATATTTATTTATTTTTATAATTCACTAAATATACACGTAATTTGAAAAAGCACTTTCTTAGATTTACGCGAATATTTGACATTTTAAATAAAACTATCTTTTAGGATTTTTTCCACGGATTTATTTAATATTGAAATAAATCCGCGAAAAAATCCGAAAAGATAGTTTCATTTAAATAGTACTTGACCTATGAAACTAAAAGGCACATAGGTAGTTTGTGGGTAGAATACGTCAGCTAATAACTAGAATTTTGCGAGAGGGCAAGAGGGTTTAAACTTTAAAGGCTATCATAAGTTTACATGAAAGTACATATTTTTGCTGTTAGAGACAAAAATGAGTTCACATGAAACAATTGCGTGGGCGGAGGACAACACTAGTGTTGATATTAAAAATCCGTTCAATAACAAACCGTGATTAACGGAAACCTTATATATATATATATATATATATATATATATATATATATATATATATATATATATACTCGTATATAGTATAAACATTTTGTACAAAACGACTCGAGCCTAGATGGTACTCGTATTTAAAAAAAACTGTACTATTATATGCTAAGGCTAACGTTTAAGAGATACATCTAAATACTGTACTAGAAAATTGTAAGTATTTAAACGGCCTACAGAACTCTGCTATAGCATGTGTCTATCTCCTAAGGTACGCTCAATAATTATTTTTATCTACATTTATAAAACGTGAAACGCCTAGGGAAGCATCCGAGCGAAGCGAGTATAAATCGCTAGCTTATACCATCTATACTAATATTATAAATGTGAAAGTTTGTGAGTATGTATGAATGTTTGTTACTCTTTCACGCCAGAACGGCAGAACTGATCTGGATGAAATTTAGCACAGAGATAGACTATAGTCTGGAATAACACATAGGATTTTTATCCCGGATAAATATACGGTTCCCGAGGGACAGATTTGTTTTTGTTTTCCAAAGTTAGCTAGTTAAGTACAAAACAATGAGTAACTTATGTTTGAAATATACTAACTAGCAGAGAACAGAATCTCTAAACAAGAACTATTTATAACTATTATGCTAAAACTATTAAACATCCAAGGTCCGTTATGAATTTCGAATAGTTTCTAAATTAAACTTACTTAAATTTTCATTAAAAGTTCTAAGTATTAAGGCATAATGTGTACCTAAATTTTGAGGAAAACGCTTATTATCTTACCGCTATACCATAAATAAGTGCACCTACATACATATATTCATACCTATTTGCGGTATAATTTAGATGATTCTGTGAAGCCGGTGGCTGTATGTTAATAAATCGTTATTAGAGCGTAAACGTCACGAGCAGTAATTACGTGAGCAAGATTCCAGATATATAGAGAGAATATAGAAATTTTAACATACACTGCTGGAACGCTTTGACGACCATCACATCGTAGTATATGTGACACGTATACCAAACGTCGCATGTTTAACTGGTGGGTCGGGGGTTTAATTCTTGCGAGCGGGTATAAAGGGTAAAACAGATACATTACGTAAGAGGATAAAGCTAAAGAAAAATCCTTTCAAGATAAGGCTGGACAGATTTAGATGAAATTTGGTAAAGATAGACATGATATGATCTGGAATAACAAATAGGCTTATTTCAGACCTATGGACGAACCCTAACGAAAAGAAGCTCTTTATCTATATATTTTATAGGTTATAAAAAAATTATGAGTTTTTAGCTTACGTGGCTGACATCTGACTATCCATTAGCAAGTAAAATTACTTAGTTTTATAAGTAATATGAATTATATACAAAGCACCACCATGAAATAAATGGCATTTTAAATGCTATGAGAAATGGACACGTGTGACATACAGGGCATCTATTCATTACGATCTAACGGCCAAAGTCAGGGTTGAGTGATGGATCGATCAGTATTTTTGTCATGTTAACATGCCATATATCCATATAGGTATATAGAATTCAACGCTTTTATATATATATAACTAGCATTGCCCGTGGTTCCGACCGCGTTCAGATGACCAAAAACCATATTCTTGGGTTTTACATAGGTATTAATTAGTATACACTTACAATGCGGTTTTTGTTATTTTTCTCAGAAATGAGATATACAGATTTGACTTAGTTACAATTTTATTATATGTATAGATAACGTGCCATTGTGGGGAACATGCTTCCCTTTACTACAAGCGGGATCGGGCCAGTCTATCACGCTGGCCAAGCGCGGGTTGGCGGACTGAGCAGTGAGCATGTCTTTTGAAAACTTGCTAGGTTCTCTCAGATGTGTAGGTTTAATTACGATGTTTTTTTTTCACCGTAAGACAAGTGGTAATCATGTAGGAAATGATTCGCACATGAAAATACCAAAGGTACGAAGAACCGGGGTTTTAACTAGCTTTACTCGGTTTCCAAAGATAACGCGTTACCACTGGGCTACTACTGCCATTATATGTATACAAATAAACATTTAAAAAATGCAGTTTTGTTAAGTACAAGAAAAATATGACACTGACTGAGGGTAAACCATAGTAATGGTCTATACATATAATAAAATTGTAACTAAGCCGAATCTGTACATTAAATATTGTTTGGAAAATCTTATTGAAATAGACATTATTATCGATACAGAGGCCGAATCTAGTTTTTAGAATTTTTGTCTGTCTGTCTGTTACCGCATCACAGATAAACCACTGGAGGGATTTTGATGAAATTTGGTATGGTGATAGCTGGTTATCCGGGTCAACATATAGGATACTTTTTACCGCGGGAAAATGTCTCATTTCTGAGAAAAAATACAAAAACTGCGATGTAAGAGTATACTAATATGTAAAACCTAAGAATTTAGTTTTTGGTCATCTGAACGCGGGCGGAGCCGCGGGCAATGCTAGTGTAATAATAAAGTTTATGTAAGTCAAAACAGTTCAGTACCTTAACACATTTACTGTTAGGCATCTAAATACACAACCGAGTGAAGCGAGGGTAAGTGTCGAGTTTTAATTTATATTTGTAATGTAAGTAAGCGTCCAAGTTTCGAGTCATGACGGAAAAACCTTCTTGCCCTTTCGGCTTTTTCATATAAATGGCAGAACATGCGTACATATTTAAAAAAGTTTTCTTATTATTCATTCAAGAACTTTACAGAAAAAAAGAAAAACGTGAAATATGCTTATACAGTATATCTGCAGTATATCCGTAGCCGTATCCATTATACGGTAGCCTAATGGTTTCATCACTATGTTATACATTTGATTTAGTTTATATTGTAATTGTTCTATGAAAAAAAAGCTAAGTAACAATAAATAAATAAATATGTTGGGACGTTAACACACAACACCATCTAGTTCCATGGTAAGCTATGAGGCTTGTGTTATGGATACTAGGTAGTTGATACATCCCCCCCAACGTGCGTTCACCTTGTCGTGGTGGGGGGGCTCAGTAGTGCCCGGCAATCCAACCGGGCGCGAAGCTAAGAAACGCACAGGGAGGTTGCCCACTTCGGTGGGCGGTGGGTGGTGGGCCTCTTCGGAGGGCGGTGTGCCATGCGGGTTGCTCCTGGTACTTCTCTGATAGCAGAGTGGACTGTGGAGCAACCCCATGGTTGTGGTGGTCTGCTTCGGCAGACCTGCCGTCGGGGCGTCGTAGTTGAATGCGTAAGCGATCCTGCGACGCCCCATTAAGACGGGGGAAGGTTTTGTTGGGTTTTAGTGGGTAGTACTGGCTGTATTACGCCGGTGAGTCCCACACGTCGTGCGTAAATGCATTTCCCAACGTTAAAAAAAAAAAGGTAGTTGATACATATAAATAACTTTAAATACATACATATTATAAACATAAGCACTTATGACTGGAGTACAAACATTCGTGCTCTTCACACAAATGAATGCTCCTAGCGTGACTCGAACCCACGACCACTGGCACAGCAAAGAGGGTCACTACGAACTGAGCCAATCGTTCGTCTTAATAAGCTTTAAAAATATTGTGAACACTCGTGTCAGAGCTTCATGTATAAACAATTTTGTATAAACTAATGTTCTATTGGTTCGGCCTCGAACAATCAGTAGGGTCGGAGAGCAACTGCCTGCATAGCAACAATATTTTCAGAGTATGTATTATGAATATAGCTTATTTCATAAACTCAAACTAAAGGAATAATATATACAGAGTTTCATAGAACTAAAAATGAAGCCAAAAAATAATGCTTTAAAATAATATATACACATATTGTTTTAAAATAGTATACAAATGATAAGTAAATGAATGTCGTTAGAAAATAAAAATCGCTAAAGGATTTCATTATAATAAAGTAAAATAAAGCTTATTGAAGAGTACTAGGTAATGCAAAAATAAAAAAATAAATAAAATAATATAATATTATTTTTATTATAAATTATATTTTACTAGTGACGCACACTCGGTTCGCTCGGG